GGGAAGATTATAGAAGGGCATCGCACCTCAGACAAACAATAGTTTACTTCATTGCCGAAGCTTGGAAAACCATGAATTTTACCATGACTGGAGGTCCTCACATTCACAATATCGCTTGGGAGCTTATGATGCTGCAATATATACTGAGGTTAGAGAGAGATTGAGAAACAAGTGTCGGCCAGAGCTGGCATTATGGGCAACTGACCTAAGACAAACTACAAGCTTCCTTGCTGAAGCTCGAGAAACCATGAATGCGAGGGCCTATGATGATACTGCAGAATGCACTGAGGCCTTAGAGAAATTGACAGAGGTGTCAGCCGGACCTGGAATGGCAGGATGTCTCCCCTCTAATAAGTGATATGTACTTAATTGCCGAAGCTCAGGAAATCATGAAATTTCTACGATCGCCAAGTGTTCTCACAATGACAGGTTCGTATAGGAGCATTCATCGGGATCCGAGAATGATTATTTGGTGAATTAAATAGCCAAAATCGCAGTAGAGAAGACGTATAGCACAGCTACTCAACTAGGTATGTATCGGAGAATTGGCAAGTCGGTTCGTAACCAGATCTAGGATCTAGACAATCAAGATAGTGAGAGGATGATGGATGAGGGAAGAGATTGGAAGAGGAGCAGCATGAAAGGAGGCTTATTTTCAAAAGACGCCTTGCACCAGTATCTATTTTTTTTCTTCCTACAACTCTATAGTACAGTCTGGGAAAGCTCGCTGGAGGAAACGAAGGTGCCGTGGGCATGGTACTTGATCGTTGATATAACAGAGCCCTCGGTATCATTTTCTATAAAACCCATCAACTGCATCGTACCTACCCGATCTCTGGTGGTGCAAAAGGCGGTGCACTTATACGCACACTAACCCTTCGTCCCGGGAGCAAGTCGCATCCTGAGGCCATCCCGGACAGAGATTGATGTCAATGGCGGCCTGTTTGACGAGACGAGGGCGAGTGGGGACATCGCACGCAAGCGCCCACCTTTGTTAGGTGCACTACCATATCCGTCCCGGCTGCATTACTAAGTGAGGGACGGGACGAGATTGCTAATTGCTCACCTCCGATCTGCCATATCTAGACTCTTCTACTTTTCATTCTTCTTCTCTTGTCTTTTAGGACCGTGAATTTTCCTTGGGGCACGTCGAGCGAGCGAGCGGCCAAACTCAACGATGACAGTCAACGAAGCTGCGCCTGAATTCTGGCTCTATGGTTATGGGTAAGTAACGGCCCTCGCTTCCGCGGAGGATCAAGTGGCTCTCTGGTTCTCGCCCATATGCTATTCTGCCTGCCTTATCATATATATCGGTGCGCTAGAACTCTCTCAAGATATTTACCTCGTCTGTTAGGAGTCTTATATGGAAGCCCCCGCCTCACTTTGGTATTACTCTATCCTTCTGGCCTATCCAACCCCGTTACACTTGCTATATGCGGCAGACTAACGGTCATGTTTGTTCCCTTTGAGCAGATAGACGGATCCCCGGATGGGTGACGGGCTATGTTCGCCGCTTTTGGCAGGTTCGAGAGCCCCTTCATACTCCCTTTCCTTTATTGACGTACCCAGGCTGACAAGTCCTTCTCTTACAGGCTAGGTATAAAGTACCATGCCTTCACTTGTACCTTATTGACTAACCAACTTCTCTTCTCGCCTGCTGTAGTCAAGACCACCGAGGCACACCGGAGGCTCCAGGCCGAGTGGTGACCTTGATCGAGAAGTCCTACTGGGAAGAACTCACGGACCACCATGATTCCGCACCCGAAAAGGTCTGGGGAGTGGCATACCGCATCATACCTGAAAAGGTAGAGGAGGTCAAGGAGTACCTTGACATCAGGGAAATCAATGGCTACACGATACATTACACTCCCTTCCACCCCGCAGACGGCTCTGCGTCTATAAAGACTCTTGTCTACATTGGTACCCCGGAGAATGAGCAGTTTGTCGGCCCACAGGACCCTCAGCAGCTTGCTGAGCATATATTCCGCAGCCACGGGCCTAGTGGACCGAACAAAGACTACCTTTTGAACTTGGATCAGGCTCTGGATGAATTGTCACCAAAGAGTGGTGATCACCACATTCACGATTTGGCCATCCGAGTGAGGGCACTGGAAGGAACCAACGGCAAACCCACCTCCTGAGTTGGACAAAGAACCTTCAGAGGAGAGCGAGAAGCCTTCAGAATAGTTCATATATGATCAAATGCGTTGTTGGCAAGAAAGAATTATCATGAAATTTTAGGTATCCTTGGTTCATCTCCGCGCAAGCCACTGTGTCCCTCAATCCAGACCTATCTAAGCCTCCCGTCGTCTTCGTCGTGTGATTCATCATCATGAACAAAGTTTTGGCCGTTACTTGTGTGTGCATTCCTTGCCCACTTTCCCAACTGTCCCGATCGAGGTTGTGCCTCGATAACATCGTTCATTACCACAACCGGCTGATAGGTGCCAAAGGTGGGCAAATCCACCCAGTCGTTCCATGAAAGTCAGGAGGATGAAGAACAAAAGAAGAAAAAGAAAAAAAACGAGAAGAAACCAAGGCCAAAAAAAGAACTGCCTCAGTTCATAGCACCGGAGTTGGAACTCGCTCGGAGCTCTCTGCAAAGCTAACGTTTCCATCAACCTAGTTTCAGAATGCTCGGGGAGCCCAGCTCAAATGGAGTGAAAAGGGTTCGTTGCATCTTCGAATACCCGCGCTTCCACCATCAAGAAACCAAGGGCCTCTGTAACCGCACATGTCGATCATCGTGTGAAGAAGCCGGTGGTAACCCAAAAGTTTGGCAGATTAGAAGCCCCTACCTCCCTGGGGAGCTCCTCCATTCGTCTGGGGAGGCTGCCCAGGCTGCTGCGACTGATTTGGGTCAACATAGGGGTATTGGGGAGCGGCGTAGCCTGGTTGATGTTAACATTTGCTTGACCAATGGATATCTCTCCTATGTAGTGAGGCAAAGTGGCCTCTGAATGGATGTGTACCTTGAGGGGGGCCGTTGTATCCTGGCTGATATCCTCGGTTACCATATTGCGGCTGGCCATAGACGTTGGGGGGAGCACCACCCAAGTTGTACCCGGGCCCATGCTGGCCGTAAGGTGGTCCAGCTTGAGGGTAGCCACCACGACCGAAGCCACCTCGTCCACCAAAGCCGCCTCCACGAGGTCCATTATCCGATGCTTTATCAACCCGGATAGTTCGGCCATCAAACCTGGAAGGTGTTAGCCCTGCAACGACGTCCTACAAACCCTGCCAATGTGGCTGGCTGTGGGAAAGGTCAAGGACCAAGTGATGGTGTTCTTACTCCACATTGTTCATGGCATCGATGGCTTTCTGGGCATCGGGCTCCTGGGTGTATCGGACAAACCCAAAACCGCGGCTTCGGCCAGTGTCACGGTCCTTAACCACCACCTACACATCCATCGGATTAGAATCATCATCATGTGGAAGAGAAACAGCGTCTCTGAAATCGGGCACAGGGTGGCTGTTCAAGGTGACAGGGTGTCGGGGACGTACGGCCTCTTCCACAGGACCGAACTCTTCGAATTTCTGGCGAAGGGTCGCCTCCTCCGTGTGCCAGGCAAGGCCACTAAGGGAACACGTTAGCACAATTTGACCGAGTGGGCGGTGTTGAGCGGCAGGGAAGCACTGACCCGATAAAGAGCTTCGACATGATTTAAATGGGAGCTTCAACGGTAAGGATGACGGGGTTGTTTCGAAAGACGAGTAGGTGCTTTAGAAGTAATGTAGCTTGTTGGGGCTCGAAGGAGAGGATGAAGAGTGGGCAGGGTAGGAAGGTAGGTAGCTTGTTTGTTGTTGGTTGAGGGGAGGGAGTAGAGAAGAAGAAGAAGGAAGAGGAGGGGTGGTGGCGGGGAAGCTGGTGGTTGTCTCTGGTGAAAAGATAGAGGGCTGACGGTCTTCTGAGCAGGTTCTGAGATGGGAATCAGTAAGGACAGACTGAACACCTAACGGGATAGCAGGCGCGGATCTCAGAGGCCTGTCGTTGAATTAAACAAGTGTCGGGCACGCAAGTCACGTCGAGGCAGAGTATGTAATTGGAGGAAGCTGGCATGGAGCAGCCGGGTGCGAGCCGTGACCCAGGTATTTCAGTGGCTTGAAATCACGGCCAGGCAGGCCTTTACTAGCACCTACTGCGCACGCCGCCAGCTAGCTACCTCCGGCAGGCTGGCAATGGACGGGCTCCGGCCAGCCTACACCACCTAAGCGGCAATCGTAGAACAGCAGCTCGCCTCCTGCCAGCAGAGCTGTTGGACTTGGCTGCAAAAGCTTCCCATGTTGGCTGCCTCCCGCCCACATCCCGAGCGTGCAGCAAGACCTTCCCTGTAGGACGGGGCACACCAATGCCAAGCAGCCAAGCAATTGGGCGGGCGAGCCAATGGAGGTGTGCAGAGCCTCGCTGGAGCATCTGGGCGCCCTTGTAGGTGCCTCGCTAGCACGGAGCTACCCTGCCCAGGAGAGGGAGCTTAGCCCACGCGGGGCCTATTAAACGGCTACCTGCTCCATCGCCCGCCCACGGGACGCACTACAGTGGTACGTAGTGCAGACGTAAAGTTGCATCATTTCGAGGGCTCACGGACCTGGATCCCTGTTTCATTGGATGAAGCGTACTCCGTACATAATCTTAATGGTCTAGAAGGCCAGCCCTCTAGTGGCCGGCTGATCTACAACCCACACCCTGGCCGTTGCACGTGTTCCCCTGTGAAGTTAAAATGTCCGGCATCATACCTGCCGAAGCCGAGATGGCCTTTCTGCTCTGCTGGGCTGGAGTTGCAAGCCAATCTGCTCCTTTTGCTGGCAGATTTGTGGCAGCCCTGCTTAGCGTTCCGACTGGCCTAGATCATTCGATCCCACTAGGGCCTGCTTGCACGGGCGTTATTGATTCTCGCGCTAGGTCATGGCGTTGCCTTGTGGGGCCAATCTCATCGTCAGGTTCATCCAGACCACATGATGAGGTAATCTTCTGAATCAAGACTCAAGAGTAGGCAGTCACCATGATCGTGCCTGCAAGGGAGCGGTCGCAGGAGTCAACGCCGGCACATGTGTATCAACTAAACACTTACGAGGTGCTCCTGACACAAACAAGCGTGCGTTGGTCTTGGCCATGACCGAGTCAAGAGTTATCTACCAATGACTTGACCGTGCAGCAGCTATGGGGATGGGAGAAGCAGCAACCCTTGCTTGCTCCCATCCCTCCAATCCGTAAAACTAAGGAGTCATCGTCTCAGCCAGAAAACCAGAGCTTCTTTGAGATTCTTATAATATTGACTCGAGCGAGTTTTGACCAAAAAGTGAGACAGGCTGCGGACATCGAGTGCTCTACCATGAGACAATCTTCGCCTCGCCCAGACAAGAGACGAAGGCTCCGCGAGTCTCGAGATCCTAGAAGCAACGATGATGCCAAAAGTGGACAGCAAGAACGCGATAGAGATCATCTGGAACAGGATGATAAGCACGCCTATGTTCACTCCTGGATACAGACCTTGCCTTCGCAGCCCAGTTTCGACGATGGCCCTATAGAAGCTGATCAAGACATCGAAGACGTGGAGAGGTGGAAGCCTCATAACTTGCCTCTAAGCAAGTATAGGTCCGGCTACGGAAATAAACTGGACCAAAATCGATCCTCTTGGGTTCTGAGGGATCACCCGCTTCAATCGCCACCACGCCCAAATGAGAATGATAACGGCTCATCAGGCAGCTCGTCTGCCTCCGTGCCCTCCGGTATTGGAACAGATCATCAAAACTCAGAATCTCTGAAGCAGGACGTGTACAGGAAGAGACCAAGAGCAAGAACCCGACCCGAACGTTATGATTCGAACAAAAGGGCATCTCATACCGCCCAGAATAAGCACAGGCCAAGTAGAAAACGGAAGTCTGGAACAAAGCGGAGAAAACCTCCTGAGGAGAAATCACCCAAGATGCGCAGCAGTGGATCACAAGCTCTTCGGTCTCGGAAGGATATCATGAACAGATTCACGTCCTCTGCGATCCCAAGTACGACAACCAGGGTCACGGTAGGCTTGGCTCCCGAAACTCAAATACGTCGCTGATCAGCTGATGTATTTACTTTAAAGCTGAAACCGAATTTCACGGCTGGCTTATTTATGAATGGGAGAGGCCCACTCTCAGGCCATAACACCGAACCTGCGGACTTAGACCCTCCCATTGATAAGTCTTCCGCACCGATGATACACTCCGACAACTTAGAAACCACCGTCCCGGAAAATGGCCATGGTGAAGAAATTTTAAAACACAGCCAGCTAAGAACTAGGAACCGAAGGCGGGAGTATTTTGACGAAGCCGAGGACTTTTTCGCCCACGGGCACTTGGATCATGAGAGACGAGTTAATGCGAACGACGCAATGGCAGCGCAAACAAAAGATGCCAACCCAACGTGCGCAGCGTCCAAAAACCAGAACATGCAAGAAAGCTCTTCAAAAGGAGATCCAGAGGGTCAGGCCTTGGATGGAAAAGCTTGTCTTCAGCCTGACCCCGAAATGAGTGATTGCCTAGAGAGTAACACCGGTCCTGGCCCAGCGGCCCCAGTTGTATCCAGGGCTGAGACCCTGGTAAATAGCCCGGAATCGGATGGAAGTTCTATACCCACCCCTATATTGAGGAGGCTTTTCCAAACTGGAGTTTTTAGTTACCAGGGTTCCTTTGTGAAAGATCAAAGAGAACCGCGCGCGCCCGAGAGAGTAGAGATCATTCCTGGCAGTTACTTAGATGGGTTAGGCAACAACAGGGCTTTGGAAACCAACCAGTTTCCGGCCTGTAATACCCAGCCCTCCACAGAAGAATTGAAACACAGCATGGAACCGGAGTATAGCGTCCCTGGCCTTCACGAGAAGCTGCGTGAAGGCAGTGGCGACACGCCTAACTATTTTGCTAACAATATGACCGATACAACCGAAGAAATTAGATCGAATGCTCCAAAGCAGGCCCAATTTGCCGGAATGGATTACCACCTAAAGCCATGGATGACAAACACGGAGAATACGACACTGCCAACGCATCACCATGTGTTTGAAGCCGACTACTTCCCCGATGAGATAGGACAACTCAGGGCAGATCAAACATCATCCCCCTCGAAACTCACACTGCCTAGTTATACTGGGTTATCCGGATATCCCTGGAGCTCAAAAGGATTCCATGGCTGTGAACGTCTTGATATTCCCACTGCCGAACGGGTCCGTCTCCCTACAGCTCCGCTTGTGCCTGTATCAGTCCCAGTGGAGAATTCCTCCATTCAACCCTTCGTCGGATCCTCCATGTTAGAAGAATCGACTCCTAGCATTCCATTGAATAGAGCTGACCCAATGATGGACAATGTGAGATTTAACATAGATTTTGGAGGGGCCTCTCCGGACTCCACTGGGAAGCTCGTGGATAGAAGCGTTGAATTAGAGCATTTGGAGAATGAATTACTCCCAAGCCGTGGTATCAATCACGATGTCGTAGAAGAGCATGAGTATAGGATAAGCGCCTATAGTCAAAGCGCTTTCTTGACCCCTGGTTTCGACCAACTTCCAAGATATTTGGATCGAGCAACAAGCAGACTCTCGGAACGGAAAGAAAACCTATCGAATAGGAGGGGGACTGAGACAACTGAAGGAACAATTGACCTTGATATGGCACGATTTTGGCGGCCGAATCGTTTTTTATAGATAAAACTGAATTGGTGTTCGATTTGGATTTTTTATCACTCTGGCTCTTGATTTTTCCATTTCGATTTTAGTTCCTCCATGTTGAAGCCACACTGCTCGGCTTTAGCTACGATGGAATTGGCTTTGCCAACCACGGGGGCATCGATCATCTTCCCATCGAGAGTCCATGCTCCACGGCCGGATTGTCTGGCCTTTTCGTCGGCAATTGATACCCTCACAGCCCATTCGACCTCAGCTTGCTCGGGGCTGAAGAGAGACTGAACAGTTTCGACTTGGCTTGGGTGGATACACTGCTTTCCATTGAACCCCATAGACCTACCCCCTTTACACTCTTCCTCAAGCTGTCTGATGCCTTCTTCTCCACGGAAAGATGTACAGACTAGATCAATGGCGCTGGGGAGATTGGCAGCTCTTGCAGCAGTGACGATGGCCGACCTGGCATAGAGAAATTCGGTTAGAGTTGGAGTCCGAGTGATTGAGAGATCAAGAGCGAAGTCCTCAGCAGCAAAAATCAGGCCGTCTAGATATGGAGATGCGCGAGTGATTGACGAGAGATCCATAATGGCCTTGGCAGATTCAATCAGAGCAATGATCTTGATCGGATTGCCGGATCCCGATGAGTGGCGCTCGGGAGCAACATGTCGCAAAACGTCAGTGACAAAGGTCAAGTCAGCTGCGGATTCCACTTTGGGGACCACGACGGCATCAACTCCGGAAGACGGAGCGAGGGTTGAGAGATCCTCAAGTGCAAATGGAGTTGACACAGCGTTGATGCGCACTGCCAGCTCGCCGATCCCGGCTGGGCGCTGTGGTAGGGAGCCTATGTGCGCCTTCAATTGCTCTCTGGCGGTCGACTTCATCAGGGGAGCCACGGAGTCTTCTAAGTCATATGTGACGTTGTCTGATTTGAGTCCCAGTGATTTCGCCAGCATCTTCTGAGACGAGGCTGGGACTGGGTGTTGCAAATACAGGCATCAATCAGCACGGTTGACATTGTGAGTAGGCATCTTACCGTCAACGGAACATACCATAGAGCAATGACCGCCGGACAATATTTGAGGCTCTTGTCGCCATGTTGACGTGATTTGAATTGAAGATACTGGACAATGAGGGACACGGATAAGTATGCTGGACGGGAGGGGTGGTGTAACACCCGGATGGACAGACAATGTTGGTATGTTATGTCAACAATTGGTTTGGAGAACGGATGTAACAAGATTAGCACGATGATGTAGGATCGCCTTTCAAGACGCACAAAGCGATAGCCCGTTTTTATACACAGATCTAATACTATACTTGAAGGTTATGAAGCCGACACAAGCGATATAGCCGACTAGCCGTCGCGACGGTGGTGATGATGGGCGTGTGAATTCTGCCGCGCTTCACCGCCCCCGGAGCTGAGGTAATACAGCCTCCTTCCTTCCAGCTATTAGTCGTACGCGTAGCTTTAAGCTGAGAGGACAGGTCACCAGAATAACTTCGTTCAGCAGCGCAACCTTCGCCTATCAATTCGTTCGGTCGAGATATCGCCATCTGGAAATCTGCTAGCGACTCGGAAGAACAGCAGACATCATGGACCTGGAGAGCGGGCAGGGCCAGCAGCCAGCAGGCACACTGAGCTGGCGGCTTAGTTCGCACCCCATTACCCTTCTGACTTTCCTTACTTTCAGAATATGTTAGCTCGGCCCCCATTTGGAAAGTCGCAATTGGTTCTAACTGTGATTCAGCCAGTGTTCTCGTCTATTTCCTCGGATTATGGATAATCAAGAGCATGTAAGTGCAGCAGTAACTGATTTGGAGGCCCACGCGCTTGTCCAACTCTCCCAGGAGGCAGCTAGCTAATCCTGGCGGCATCGCAGGATCATGACCTTCATCATCACGATTCTCCTACTCGCGGCCGATTTCTACTACCTGAAGAATATTGCGGGACGACGCCTTGTAGGTCTGCGATGGTGGAACGAGGTCGACGCTGCGACAGGCGATTCCAAGTGGGTGTTTGAGAGCAGCGACCCGGCGACCAGGACCATCAACGCCACGGACAGCCGGTTCTTCTGGCTGTCGCTATACGTGCAGCCTGTACTCTGGATAGTCATGTTCATCTTGGCGCTGGTGAGGTTCGCCTTCATGTGGCTGCCGCTCGTCAGTAAGTTTGACACCTTGTCGCCCCCTTTAACCCCCCAACCCACCTGGGCGTCGATAGCGCCTTGCGATGAGCTTCTCTTGCTGACCTGCTGTGCGCCCGTAGTCATCGCTCTGGTCCTCACCATGATGAACACCCTGGCCTTCTCGCGGTGCGACAAGTTCAGCCAGGCCTCGAACATTGCAGGCAGCGCCTTCAGCGGAGGCAACCTCGCGGGCAGCATTGCGACCAACATGGTCTCTCGCTGGTTCACTCGCAGCTAGACGATAAGACCAAGGACGAAGCATGCGGTCGAGATGTTGTAGACTCCTGGCGCTTGATTGGTCGCTTCGTGCGCACCCTCGTGAGGGCGATGTGGATCACCCAGACTTGGGACATGTCAAACTCCCAACCTGCTCGGAAACATCTTGGAAACCCTACACTTCGGGAGATTCCATACTTGTTCATGTGTATCAAAATATTGCTTACCTGGTTTGCCTAGTCTCAGCCAGCGGTATAAATTACCTTAGTTATAGTGATTTTATTCAGGGCGTTGACGATTTTAAGGATCGGGGTCGGCCTCATTTCTTTTTTTGTTATACTTTGCGTTTTGTACCAGGAGTTGCTTTCCTCTTTTCGCACAAATGAAACGCATTTTCGCTTATCCCATCTCATGTTGATACCGTAGAATCTTTTTACTTGGTAGACTAACTCAATCTTATCACGCATCGATGATTACCGACCTTTTCACACACATTGTTCATTCAGGTGGGAGCAGCCAAGGTGAGGTTGAAAGCGAGCGGAAGAGCCCAGTTGTCTTGATGGGTGTATAGATGTATGTAACGATAGTGGTATAAGTTAGCCCGCCCAAATTCTCCGAACACTCGAAACATCTCCCTTCTCCCACGCGCCACCCCCTACAGAGCTTCCCCCCATCCCGGCTATATATTCGCGAGCAACTATGCCCTTCAAACCAAGCGAAATGGGCCCGTCGATCTCCTCACAAGTGAGAAAGGATCCCGGCCCAAAAAATAAAACAAGGTATTGGAGGTGGCAATGCAAATAGACTAAAAAGAGGGCAGAAAGACATAGCCATGTGCCAGCAAACGCCAAAGATGGGGGGGGGGGGAAGGAAACGACAAAACCATGAAGGTGTGGTCCCTCGTGGCATAACCAATAAATAAATAAAAAATCAAAGATGAGAAACATCCCATATCGACCGACCAATATATGTGAGAATTAACAACTGAAAAAATGATATCGAATCGACCCCGCTCATGAGACATGAAGTTGGTACAACGCCGGGAACACCGCAAAAGAAGAACACGATGAATACACATTTCAAAAAAAGGTCGCTTTTTTGGCTATTCGCCTCGTTTCCTTGTCTTTGTCCTACCGCCGTGCTGCTTGGCTGGCCGCACGCTCAATTTCGTCGTCGAGTTGCCTCTCTTCCTCTTCTAGCCGTGCGATGTCGTCTGCCGTCATACCCTCCTCGACCAGGTGAGCAACGTTGCGCGAGAGTCCTGAAGGCGTCGCCGTGCCGCTGCCGTCCCGAGGGCCAGGGACATTGTCGGCGGCGGTGTTGTGGAGGGATGAGCTGTCGGCACGAGGGTTGTGGATGACGTCGTCGGCGTAGGGGGACTGCGGTGACTGGGCGGTGGAGTCCTTGTCCGCGATGTAGGCGTTGGAGGCGCCATGCGTGTCCGCGATTTGAGACTTGCTCTTGCGGCGTCGGAGCAAGAACCATGCGACGAGGGCGATTATAGCCAGACCAGCCGCACCGCCAATGGCGATACCCACAATGGCTCCTGTACTTAGGCTGCTGCCGCCGCTGCTGCTCGAGGGGTTGCTGTTGTGGCCGTCACTGGCCGTGTTGCTGGTGCTACTCGATGGGTTGTCAACCGTAGTAACGTTGGCGTCCCGACCGCCTCCGTTAGGCCCGTAAGAGGTAATCCTTAGCTGAAGGCTGGAGGCTGATGCGCTTTGTACATTTGGAAGGATACCAAAATACGGCGAGTAGGAATGTCCAATGATGGATTTGCTTTTGGACTCCCAATACATGTCCAAGGAGAGGACCGCGTTATCCACGCTGGACTGCACGCTTTGGCCCTCTTCGGCGCCTTGAGTGAACTTGGTGTAATTGAACTTGATAGCCCCACTGCCGAAAGACAGCGATGAACTGCCCGATGTGCTGACGGTTGCGCGGTCGGCATCCCTGTTGGCTTGGTCCACCACTATTAATGATACGTTGAGGGGCTCGAAACTGGTATCCTCCCAAGCATAGGCGAAGTTTACGAGATTGTTGTTATTCAGATAATCTGCGACGAAAACACGGTCGGAACCGCCAAACGTGTTGTCCGAGGTAAATATGCTGTTGTTGTTGAACGTGACGTAGTTGGTCGTTGGCGACGGTACGGACGCTACCTGGCTGCTTGTGGTCGAGGCTCCAATAGGTGCTCCCTCTCCTCCTCCCCCAGCCGTGCCTGTTGGGTTCGGCGAGGTTTGTATTGTCATGGTATTGGGGCGGCCATTCTGCCTCACCACGATGCGCCAATCCTCCATTGAAACGGCTGATGTCCTCTCCTTTCCCCTCTAGAAGTATAGTTGTCGTACAGAAGTTGAGGCAGACGGTGATCTAAAAATTTCGAGCAACTGGGGTGGTCGTCGTCGGTGCTATCGTCGGGGATGTCGAACGCTGATGATGACTGGCATGAATGGTCGGTAAGGGGTATCTGAATAATAGAGACAGGAAGAGAGAAAGCGAAACCAATCCCTAGGCTAGGCTAAGCTAAGCAAACAGCAACAGCAAAAGCAAAGCATGCACCAAGCATGAGGCAGGCGGGTAGGGAGGAAAAGAATGTCTCTGGAGGGGAGCGGTCGAGAGAAGGGCAAAACACGGAGGGCCTTGGTTGGCTCCAGTCTCCAGTCTCGAATGCATAATGCATGGACTGGCCCAAGCCGGACTAGTCTTGCAGTTCTCTGGGCTACGCTACAGTACGTAAGACGTAAGACCAAGACCGGGGGGTTGGAGGGGGTCCCAGGCTGGGTCACGATTGGGCGGCAAGGCTGGGTGAGGGTCTCGCGCCTGCGACCCGTCCACCTCTCCAACACGACCCATGCACCAGAACTCCCATCCATCGGTCACTCAGCTCCTCCCAATCCCGAACTTGAGACTGGCCTGGGTCCGAGACCAAGCACCAGTGCGCTCGCTGTGCTTTGGTTCCTGGCCGGAGGGGCTCGACTGGCTGGCGTGCCACCATCCTGCTAGGCAAGGTGCTACAGTTGATTAATTTGATACGGTGCGATCAGCCGTACTGTCTGGAGGCAAAGCACAAAGTATTGGGTCCTTGGCACGCACGGGTCTAGCATTAGAGCGGCTAGGAGCCCTATACGTGGTACATACGCTGTGCAGCGTCGCGAGTGAGTGCCCGTCAGCAGAAGGCTCAGCCATGTACGCATGTACTTTGGCGTGGTCAGCGCAGGAAATGGGCAGGTAATACATGGCATGTGGTCTCACTCAAAGTACCTCGAAACTGCCTGCAGTCGGACCCGTCCCCTCCCTCGGCCTTGGGGAGTTGTAGGCCGCCGACCAGGATGGCCAGGGCATGGTGGCAGGACGACGGCAAGCGCTGTGTCTGCATGTACGGTTATCAATCGAATCATGCACTCTGTCCCGGGCATTCCTTCACGGCGGAAGCTGTCGCTCGAGGGTGCCAGGAAGGGGAGGTACTCGGACTCGTACGGTATAGGCCAGCGACGGCGATGGAGGGCGGAGGTCGATGGATGGAGGAAAAAACACCACATGGATGTCCGTGCCGCGAGCTGTGTGCCTGTACGTACTGATTGTTGCAGAAAATAGAACACCCGCCCCGCAGGCCAAATGCCCCTGTCCTGTGGCAGTGTGCCTCGTAGGGCCAGCACTGGAAGTGGGGGAGATCTCAGGTACCCTTGGCGGGAGCTGCCACACAAAGGGTACATGCCACCTCGTTGTGGGAGCGGAATGAGCATGGGGTCCGTTTCGGAGCTAAGCTGCTAGCGCTGCTAGGCTGCTTGGCGGACAATCCCATAGCGGGAAAGAGCACGATCCCGCCTGTGACCTAAGAAAGGAAGTACCAAATCGAAGGGCGGTGATCTTCCCGATGACCAGAATACCTCGGCAGTATAAAATGAACCAACTAACAATATTCCGTGCATTAAGTATTTCACACTTGTTATTCGACACAATACATAGTAATCAGATAATACCAGTCGTAGACTCAACATGGAAGCAGTAGAATGCTTACTACTAGGTGAACGCTTGCCCGCTTAGGGGTCTGATCCACTAGGGCCACTAGGGTGCGGCTGACAGCAGCCAGTACGCTCTAGAGAAGGAGCTGAATCCCCACCCCTGCCTCCTCCTTCTTCGCCGCCTCAAGCTGCTGTTAGGCCGGTACGGCTGAGCCATTGGTATTCCAGAGCCCCCGAGTCGTCAAGTCTTAAGTCCAGAGTGGCTTTCAATAATCAGTAATAGCTGGCCCAACGACATTTCCATCCTCTGGCCGTTGGCCATGTGCCTGCCTAGCTACGAACCGAACCTCACTGCGCTAGTGGCATGGCAAGTCATCATGACATGGGCGGTTGAAGCTCCCCCGGCTCGTCGCCTTCAAACAATCAATTTAACACGGGAACCCCAGGAAGAAACAATTTATTCTCGCAATGTCGCTCCACGCCCAATTGAATTAAATGCCGTGTTGCTCAGTGGATACGATCCTCGCCGCCTGGCCCCAAGCGTCTACGCTCTTACAATTGTATTTCGCGCGCGCTCAGAGCAGAGACAATCGTCGCTCCACCACATGACCAATCAATTGTCAGCCTTCTCATCTCTCCATGCGCCGTGGCTATGTATGTCTGAGGTTCTTTTGGATTGCCCCTTCCCGCATGCCCAAAGACCCTATTTAGGCGCCCGCAACCAGCACACTGTCTAAGTTCTCCGCAGCTTTTTTATCCATTGCACCCGAGAGCAAAGTACCAAAGCCTCGACGTCGGGTCTCAGCATGATCTTCTGTCCCTGATGTGAGTGATCTGTGTGAGATTCCTATTTTGGAGCCGTTGTCTAGATGAAACCCAGTTTCATTATGCTTCGAACCTGAATAAATCCTCCCATTATTAGGCTCGATGACATGCTGCCATGCGACCCTTGCCCGGGATTGAGGAAACTCATTTCTTGCTCTCTTTTCGCTCTTCCCAACTGGATCACATCTCTCGAATCCCCGTGGCTTCGAGTAATAAGCATCCTGCCTACAAAATATAATCATCTCACTGAAAACTGGGCCTGAGCAACCCCTCCCCTGATCCTGTCAAAGTCTGATCTCTCACATCGAACAATATCCCCAATGTAACCTCGCTCCACATGGCCCGTCCGGTCTTGGTCTTCTAATGACTGTACCAGCGTCGCATCATATCTCTCGCGCTTTTCAATCCCTAGCCGAAACGAGCCAGCCCAGCGGCCAAACCACAAACGGGTGCCCATCCTCCGATCTCTGAAACCCAACCCGCCGCGCCAGTGCCGGCAGTTGACTCCCGCCAGCTGGACCGTGGTGGCAGTTGAAATCACCGAATGCGCCTTTGACACTGTAACAGTCCCCCCCCTCGCCCGTAGCAGTAGGATTCCAGCGTGGCTACCGGGTCTGTAGCTTGGCGGGAATCAGCAGGAACGAATGAGCTCGATCTCGTCGATTCCTATTCTTGGGATTTCGTCCTATGACGCCCTTAGATTCATATCGGGCCGTGTTTCAGCTGCTGTCTTTGCCAGGCCAGTTTTATAGGATGTCTCTCGCACCTACCGTTAATAGTTCATGCCGACCGTGGATAGTGATACGATTTCATCCTGGTGGTATTGGACCTTTTGATCACTGATTGCCGGGACCGAATATAGACTTCCTGGAAGTTGATTGCTATCCTAAGCTGAGGACATGGAGATGCTCCCAAAAATCGTTGAGTGGTGGTAGTACAATGTTCCTTCAGTAGGTATTTTTTATGTATGCACTATTAAGCTAATCTATGTGAGCTATGCTGGTGTAATCAGAACCAAAACCTCCTCGTCATACAGATTCATTCTGGGCGTTGAGAAATTAAACAAGACAGGCGCGTTTGCGTCGACCATCAGAATAAAAGACATAATGCCCAACTCCCCAGGAGTCCGTAGAAAGAAGCCCAGTGTAAAGCCAATCTGAGTTGCGCGCTAAGCCGCGTAACCCTCGTATGCACAAAGAGGAGGAAGGATAGCCTTCTTTGGGTGTACAGGACTTCCCAGCATGCGACGGCTATGCGAAAGTCATTGACATCTCCTTCTCTTTACCGAAATCTTCATCGTCAGGGTCGTCTGCCCACGGGTCGTTTAGTGTTATATTAGGGAGTGTCTGTGATGTTACCGGAAGAGGACGCTTGGAGAACTCATCCTTGGGCGGTGGCGGAGGCGGCTTGTCTGTGAACGACGTGTCGAATACCATCGATACCTCGTCAGCCTCGGGTCTGGGGGTGCTTGGGGCTCCAGCGCTCTTCACGACCAGTACCGTCTGCTGTGATTTCGATTTCAAGGGGGGCGGTAAATCTAGGGACATGGGCGGCAGAGTTGATTCAATCTCTTTGATCTGAACATTCTCTGATCCCTTGGGGTCTGATCCGGTCTCTTCTGTAACACCATTTGCTATTTCTGCACGCATGGCATCCACGTCGAAGAGTGCCCCCTGATACGCCGCATCCTTATCCTTTTCTTTCGAGTCGGAGGGTATAGCTTGTTTCGCTCCCTTCTCTTCGTATATTTCCCATTCCTGTTTCTTTCCCTTTGACTTCCCACTGAAGAACCCTCCAAACATGCCCGTTTTCTTGTTGCTGGCTGCTGCTGCTTTGCCCTCTTCTTCGAGTGCTCGCCGGGCCTCCTCGATCTCGCTGATCAATTCTCTCTGCCGTTGATCATGACCCTCGGGATCAGGATCCTCGATTTCAGTAAACTCCTCGCTTTCCACCATCCATCCACAGTTCATCAACAGAATGGGCATGGCTGTACGGTATTCCATGTGTCCTATCACAATGTCCGTGACATCAAAGTTTTCAATCCATGGTAGCTCTTCGATCGGCCCCAGCCCTGCCACACGGCGAATACCACCGCTGGTAAGACGAAATAGGTAGCCAAGAATCCAGTCGTTACGGTTAAAGCCGTTCACAAAGCGTCCCGTAACCACTGTACGTGTCCGCAAATACTCCTCCCTCTTCACGACAACAGGCGATCCGAACAGATAGACATCTTGTACAAGTCCGTACGCACCTCGCTTGGCCAACTCAAGCAAGCATGAGAAGATCACCCTGGCGCCGATAGAATAACCAACGAGGATAATGGGGCGGGCACCGAGGTTTCGTTCTATCAGCGAGTCTGCCAAGATCTTGCCAGCCAACATCGCTCGGTCAAGTGAAACAGCCCAAGGGTTATCGATCAGATATGACAACTTGGTTAGAATTAAGGGTAGTTGAATGGCACCCATCAACGCAGTAAGAATGGTACCACCGAGAATTTGTTGGATACTCGTTGTTAGAGCCTTTTGAACCGGTATTAGCAAACTGAACATCACAGGCCGTTAGAAGAGGGCTTATGGATCCAAACTCACCTCGGTAGCTAGAATCCTGATAGTGTCACCAATACTCTGGAGAATTTCAGGTTCCCAGAGGACAGAGTAAATATCACCCATCAAGGGGTCAACTGTACTGAAGGGGAGACGAACGTCATCCACCTTGCCAGCCAGCCAACCAGATACAGTGACGATCAGATTGACACGTTTGTTGTTATGGAGAGGTCGGTATTCGAATGTCTTGACGGCGCCTGTCCGTCGGTTGGCAGCCTTGCCACCAATGTAGCTTCCAGAGGCAGCAAAGGTCGATGTGATGATGGCAGCACCTCCTATACCACCGAGAAAACCACTGGTGCCACCGACACCGATGGTGGCAAACCCAGCAGCCAAACCGACGCCAATTGGACCTGCCAGCAGACCGGCTGATAAACCAATCACCAATCCGCCACCAACAGTTGCCAGGCCCATTACCATATATCGCTTTTTGAGTGCTGCCTTTCTGCGGTTATCCAGGTGCTCGTCCTCGTTCCAGTTTTCCTTGTCGGCGGCTTGTTGCATTTCCAAAGCATCCGTGACACGCTTCTCGAATCGACAAACGTCAACCCAGTTGATTTCTAGGCTCTCAGCAACGCGCTCGAGTAATGTTCTTGATCTGGCATCATAGACAGAGTCCGAGATTAAAATCAAGAAGAGATCACACAGGATTGTCCATCGCAAATCGATGTCGATCTTCTCTGTCGACGGTAACTGGGTGGGAGTCTTTACTTCTGGCATGTCTTGGATGTCAATGCTCTGGTAGGGCGGGGGTGGCGTTGCAGGCATTTCGTCATCTATAGTCTTGATTTTCTCGACGGGAGTCTTGCTTCGGTCCTCGGGAGTAGGCGTAGGAGCAAGGGTATCATTCGTGATTGCAGGCGATTTCAAACCCTTCTCATCATCGCTGTTCGACGTCGATGGGCCGGTCTCACCTTCAGAATACGATGGTGGCGCGGCCTCTTTCCCCTTTCCGTTTGTGCTTTCTTCGCCCTTGGTCTCTTCACCTTTTATATCTTCGCCCTTAGTCTCTTCACCTTTGGTCTCTTCACCTTTGGTCTCTTCACCCTTGGTCGCTTCAGTCTCCTCCTCTTTCATGGCGTCGGCCATGGGGTTACGAACTCTGGCGTTAGCCATCAGGGTGGGCGTGAGATCCGCGGTGATGACACCATGCTCCGCAAGCTGCTCAATCATGACCTGTTCCGCCTCGTTGATATCCATGTGAGCGTACAGGCGAATCATCATCTTTTGCCCCCACATGGTCATGGCCTCATGGGCGTGCATAACTTCCTTCTTTACTTTCTTGGATGCATCGATATGCTCTATCCTCTTGAGATCCCGAAGCTGCTTCACAATCTCCAACCGCACGATGCCCACATATGCTATACGTTGACCTTCTGTGAGAAGGTCTTTGGTGGCTTGCATTTGGGAAACCGCATCTCGAGCCTCCTCCTCCTCCTCAACGGCCATAGCCGTGCCCTTATAACCATCCCCGAAGAGATACTGGGTGTTGTCGTCTATGCTGTTGGCAGATTCTGCATCGTCGTCCATCTGTACCCTCGTGTATCCCTTGCCAGCCCCTCCGAGATTTCCGTAGCCGTACACGTCATCGTTGGCCTCATCGTGTTCTCGAGCGATCAGCTTGTCATTGTCGTCGTACATATCGTACCGAGCATACGATGGCATCTCTTGCCAGGTCTCAATCGCATCGTCCTTCTCGTCTTCCTTCTGTGTCGAGAGCTGCTGGTGGGAGTGCTCCGACAGACCATGCTCATTATTGCTAGCAATGCTCACGACGCTGGCCTTGTGGGCGTGTCCCTTTTTCTTCCCTCCCATTAAGGAGCTTCTCCTTTTCTCGGCAAACGAGGCAGACTCCCTCTTCGCTACCACGGTTGTGGCGGCCTGCTTGGTGTCGGACTTTGAGGTCGAACCATCCGCCTGTTGGTCGGCCTTGGCCTCCTTGCCGGAGCTCCCGCCATCTTCAACGACTTCTTTGGTCTCGGTCACTGTCGACACAGTCTTGCCCTTCTTCCCTTCACCATTCTGCTTATTACTCTGGGGCCCCGCAGTAGTCTGACCGCTGGCCTCGTCTGTTCCGCTGGAGCCGTGATCTTGCGACACAGTACGGGGAACGACTCGTCGGATGGGTAGACCGAAATCATCCGTCTCAACAACCATCGGTGCTGGCGGAGATGCCGTGGTTTGGTTCGTGGGCGCGGGGCTCTCGGCGCCGTTGGGCTGGCCCTCCGCCTTGGTCATATTGAAAAGAGATGCTGTATTATGTTATAAATGAGGCCGCCCGTTGTAGATTTGTCTAACACTCCACGTCCGCATCCATCCCTTGATCCGGGGTGCAAAGCGCAATGGGGCTGGATGGGACGTGACCTGGCTATAATATGGGGTTAAGAATGGCGCAAGACAAGAAGGAAATATGATTGACAGATCCGAACTCTTGGTCGGTGTGTCGGTCGGCAGGTAAAGGAGGCGAGTTGGATGCAGGACACTGCTGGTGGTGGTGGTGCCCTGTACATGACAGCCCACCTGTCCCCTATCTGCGGCAACCCATCGCAAAAAATAGTAGTGTTGGGGGCCTGGAGGGGCAAGCGTGTGGCCGGTCTAGTGCACTGCAACCGGGACTTGAACATCGCTAGCGCCTGTGACCTGCCACTAACCTGGGCGTTATACGCTGCACTACGTAGCAATCGGCAGTGCTGGGGGCTCATCAAAATGAAATCACCCCCACCTAATGCTTTCTCTAATGACGCGTGCGGGCCGGTTTGATAACCCACCATGTGATCGCTTTGTTCATGCCATGCCCATGCACAACTACATCGTTATTGTTTCGGAGTACACTTTTTGCATTACTTCTAGCGCCGATGGTGTATTTTCGTATTCAATTATGTTGGCTTGTATGTGTATGTATGAATGAGTCTGACATCAGATATTCCTCCCACCATCGATAATACGGGAGAAGACACGAATATGGTCAGCAGTTCTGTTCCGCTTTTGGCCAAGACATGCGAATCCGGGCCTGTCACAACACTTGCGACTCCGCTCACGAGCTCTCGGTTTCGGTCGCCTGTACCTTTTCTATACCCTCGTCCGGTTCGACTTTGTCACCCGCCGCCTTGGCCCTCCGTCTCCGCTTGCGCTTGGCTGGCCCGTCTGCTTCTGAGCTCGCTGCGGCTGTACTATCAGGTTTGTCCTTGGGTTTTGGTGTCGCGTCAGGCTTCTTTTTGGCCTTCTTAATAGAGAGCGGGTTGGGACCTTTGCGGCCCTTGACCTTCTTCTCCTTCTTCTCCTCTGCAGCTTTTGCTGATGATGCCTGGTCTTTGGGCTTTGAGTTGCTGTCACTGCCGCTCTTATCGTCGTCATCCTCCTGGTTGCGCTTCCTCTTCCCTAGCGCATTCTTGATCTCTGCCCTGAATTTGATCTTTTCCTCCCGTAATCGGGCCTGCGCGCTCTCGTCGGCCATAGGCTCTAGAATCATGACGCTCCTCTTGATATATATCAACGGTACGCCACGGACAGTCCGCAGTTTCCTCCTCACTTCCACATCCTGGCTGGCGACGACGTAGCGGTGCTTGTTCTGTCCCGAATCTTTAGGGTCGACCACAGACAGGACACACTCTTGCGTTGAGAGGGGTTCGGGGTACTGATCGGGGTGGTGGCCGCATCTCCGGCGTTCCAGCGTCTTGGCGAGCTCGATCGCATCGTTACCTCCAGGCTCATTCTTCTGGGCATAGAGCTTCCTGATCTCGCATTGTGATATCACTGCACGGTATATCAGCCCAGTGGTCGTAGAGAAAATCTCGTTTGGTGGAACAACATACTCGCTTTCACTTTTCCATGTACTGTCCGTTCTAAGGCAGGATTCAAGTCCATTTTGAAGCGACAAGAATCCTTGACCATCTCCGCGTCCACTTTTGATACGTTAGCCAGATTGAAGCGCCATACTGGCGGTTTTGTAGAACCTACCAAGGACCTGGTATGGCTCGCGGAAGCCGAAGGTCATGGAGAACTGCTCCATGAGCTTCCGATACTGCTTGGAGCGCTTGCCTCTCATGGTGGCCGATGTGGGATGAAACAGCAAGCGAGTAAATTCAATTGACCGAGAAGATACAAATTCGTAAGATGCGCGACCGCGACAGGTCTTGAAAAGGCTGGGAGGAAGCTTGCACGAGCACTGGCAAAATGCGATGGATGCAATGAAGTCTGGAAAAATAAATTTCTTATCGCCAATCAGCCTTGCACCGACCCGTTATCTAAGCCCACCCAGCCGATAAGCTCTACAGAGTGACAGTGAATTTGGCACTCAAGCATTCAAGTCTGCGATTGGTATATCAGATCATTAAGTGCTAATAAATAAATATATAAGAGATAATACACTGAATATTATTAAATTATATCGTTTTATACTGCTGAGGTTTTCTAGTCATTATAGAAAGTGGTCGCCTTCAATTTGATGTCTCATTTCTTCTGTCACCCAGTTGCCAGTGTATCCCGCGCTGTCCTCTCGCCCAAACTATCACTCAATTGAAAAATCTATAGTTTCTGATCCTATTACTACCCCATGAAAACTGATAAAAAAAAGTTGTATTATTAAGTCATAAGTATTGTCGCAATGCAATATGTTTTCATATTCCGTTGCTGGGGTGAGAAGACGGCTTGTCTCTTTTACTGTTCTGGAGCCTGCCAAAACCCGAGTTTATATGACCCTACTCGTTCTTCACACATAGCGCGGCAACCACACTGATGTCGTCGAGTTTCCCTATTGTCATGTAAGGGGTGTGCAAGGCATTGTGGATAGTTAGGGCATTGAAAGACTCAACCTACCTCCTACGCTGGCGAGTCCTTCCTCGATTGCATGTTCCATAAAAGGACTCTCAGCATATGGGTCCACCGCAACTCGCTTGGCAGCCGCAACCAAGTTCTGAGCTGCGGCTTTCATTACATCACGAGCATCTTCGCCTGGTTGAGTTTCGGGGCCTCTCTCGGAGTTTTCGGACTCCCATTCACGGAGTGATCTGAATATTATGTCAACAATCTCATGCTCCCACAGGTTATCAATGACGCCGTCAGTCATTGCGAGAACCACGTCGCCAACTTCAAGGTCGACGGTATCTACAACAGCATTCGTCTCGGGGGTGTCGGGGCTGTTGGTGCCCAGCTGGCGAGGGCAGTCAAACCAATGCCATTGCTCTTTCGTCTTGTAGAGAATCTCCTGCTCTCGCGGACGAAGGACCATAACTTGGCAGTCGCCGAGGTTCGTGACGTAGAGCAATGGTATCGTCTCTCGGTGCCTCGACGCAGTGTCTCGAACTGTGTAATGAAGCTGGGCACCACAGGCGGTTGTTGTTCCTTGCCAGTTGTGGAGTTTGGTAGCCTCCAGGGTCCGCTCATACGCTGTCTGTAGAGTCGCAACGGGGTTGGGCTCCGCATCGGGTCGCATCAAATCCTGGTCAATCTCAGAGGCCCAGAAATGGAGTATGAGGCGTGACCATAACCTGTGTACACACAACCACAAAAATAAGGCTTAGTGACACTATCACATGTTTACCCAGCGACCTCGTGATACGCACCCTGCATGACCTCGAGGTCTCGTTGCCCAAGCCCCAACACCATCATTCGCACATAGGAAGTAGTCGCTCGCAAAGACGGCATCGTCGCCGTTGGTCTGGCCTCGTAATAATTCGCCATTGATATTTACGCGGTCGCGGCTTCGGTGGTGGGTGCTGAGAGCGTCCGAAAAGGAGGCCGAGGGCGGGGAGAGGAAGGGAGGGGGGAACGGTCGCGGGGTTCGTTTGGCAAAAAGTGCAACGCCAGTATCGAATCTAAATGGCAGGCTCGGTTTATGGTCCTCAGTTGGTACGGGCGATACCTGTGACGAGGCAAACTGCCTGCCAAAGCTACAGCCCCGCCATAGCCGGCCGTTGCAGGATAGCTGGGCTCGCGATAGCGATCTTAATATGGTGAGATGGCGATGAGATGGGCGCATGCGAACCATGGGGCGTCGACAAATGACCCCGTGTGTGCTTCTACGCGCACTCTATCACAGCGTTTGTGGTTTGGAGAGTCGATATGTGAGCTGGCCAAGCTCGCAAGGTTCAAATGCCGCGATTGGGGGTTTCCTAGGGCAAAAAGGATACACTGCGATACGACATCATACATCTCATTAGGCCATTGCTCGAGAGCGATTAGGACCCTGTCAACCTGTATGACTAACACGTGACGGGGACACTGTAGGCTGGATATCAGCCACAGTCATGCTCACTTGCTGCACGACCAAGTGTTCTTGGCTACCTGGGAGCTGGAATTTGCGTGAGATTCTTAATTCTTGAGTTGACCCAATTCAGCATTGCCGGCAACCATTCCCACTCGTCGGCCTTCGATTCTCCCGCTCTTCGAGACATGTTTCTAGCTCGTGTGAAGCTTATTGAGCTATTGGGGGCCAAGACTAGTAGCCGGACCACAACCACTGGCATGGGCAAATATGCATATCGCTGTCGAGGCTTCAGGCAGAGACTATGGCACGCACCCGCGTGGATCACCAAGTCGTGTCAAAGTTGGGTGGGCAATTAACATCGTTGATAGACGCAATTGACGCTGCCTCGAGGACAACAAATCCCACTGTGGCCTGGCAACATAATTTTCTATCTAGCGTGGCCTACAACTCAATCGAGGGACACTAAAATCATAGTGGTGTATAATGATAATGGGCGAGGTCCGCGCGTACAAAGGCTTCACTGACGACATCGACGCCAGCTCAGGGAGCAATGGATGATAAAGTTGCGATGTAGTGAGCGGGGCATAGTGCAAAAGGGAAGCAGGCCAATTGACGAAATAAGGAGCTAACCGAGACTAATGAGCACCAAGGAGTGATAGTCTTCAAGCATCAGAATCGACAAACCCATCCAGATCCAATCGAGATAATCGAAGAGGGATAAACGGTAGCCAGCATCGCGATACCGCGAGGATGGCTGCTATGGACCAATGACGTAGAGATTGTCGTCGAATTGGACCCAAGGTCGGGCCAGCCTGATCCCCCCATGGTGCGGATTTGCCAATCACGCTTCATCCTGGCGCAAGCCTGATGGGGCCAAAGCCAAAAAAGGGGTGTCAACGAGGTTGGCATCTAGGCCCAGGCTGTCAATTTAGCCTGCCGTTCCGCTTTTGGTCGAGATCACTGCTCTCCCAGCATGTCCGGACAGTCCGGCATCTTGATAACCGACTCGGGTAGTATCTTGCGGATGAGCTGACGAGTCATTACGTCTCCCAACGTGAATGCTGAAATTGTGAATAGAATCCGTCTTCTAATATCATCCGCCGTATTACGAGAAGGAAGCGCTGAGGCGCGTCTACACGCATGATGTGACAAGGACAGCTCTGACTAAGCGCCGCCAAGATGTAGATCTTCCTTTTCCTCAGGTCGTTGTCTGAGAGCGCATCTTTAAATCGGGAGTGATTGGCCCACGACTCTCTCCAAGCCCAGAGCCCTGACAGGGACACGTAAGTTTTAGGTGGCTTTGATCATTTGATGGCAATGCCGCGCGACAATGGCCGTTTTCCTGCCGTTTCTTTGTTTTTCGTATTCGCCATCATCTTCGCGTCTGCCGAGAAGTCAATTGCTTCGTAGGAATCTGGATCAAACCCAGCCAGCCACTATGACCACTACTGCCACACCCATGGCTGCACTGCCTCATCCCACTAGTCCGATTGCGTTGCCATCTTCAACTCAAAGCCTCGAACACTTTAATCTGGAGGTCGGATGTGTCTCAACGAGCCACCGATTCCTTAGTCATATCAGCCAACCTACTCGGGTAGGTAGCAGGGCATCTGGCTGGATTAGGTCGGGGGGTGCGATGATAACTCCACCCCTCTCTGAGGAGGAGGATTCTGGAGAGAACGAAGCGGTCGGCCGTCAGAAGCCAAGCTCGCCAAGTTGGCAGAGCGAGCAAGATTATCGGACACTTTACACGCTAGCACATGCCGGACCAGACGAAAGCCGCTACTTTTCCCTCTCAATGGAGCTTTTCGCAGGCATAACCAGGCCGGGTGCGCCAATCAAGTACTAACAACGCAGAGGGGCCTTTTTTCTCAGTCAAGTCCACTTTAGCTTTTCTTCTCTCTGCAGCAAGCACCCATTCAGGTACCTGCATGCGGCGAAACAGACGCTGCGACTGGTTCGTGGGTCTCCGCCAGAAGCAAGCGCCCAGCGATGGAAGTGACTAGACTCGAGAGGACGGAGAGGGTTTCGTCTCGACCAGTTGTAGGGCTGTGTGGTCGTGGGGAAAGCAGCTCACGTTACAAGTGCATAATGTCCAGGTATGTAAAACAATGTAGGGGAAGACGGGGTGAAGAAAGAATATCTGGAGAGCCAATGTCAGTGGCATCATGGGCCAAGACAATACCTGTCTCGCAAGGAAGTTCCTAGCACCAGTTACCGCCGGCTAGGCGCAGGTGGCTTCTTGTTTCTAGCGGCTACAGGTGTGTGGATGGAGAGACAGGCGGCCGGGGAAAGATCACGTTCTCGAATGGCATGCTCGCTTGTTGGTGGTTCGGTTCATCGGTGAAAGTGATGACGACCAGGTATGGGTCTGCTGCCAGGATCATCGATAGTCTGGGATGGACTGATGGGCCTTCGGGAATCATGGAATGGCCGTCGCTATCGGTATCGCTACAAGCGACCACAGCCCTCGTGGTCGTCTCGTCATGCCACCGGCCAAGCCTGTGATCATGTCTTGGCTGCCAGCCGGAAAGGCTGGTCATACATCATGGATACTTCAAAGTAAGAGTCTAAAAAGCGCTGCGGCATGCATGTCCTGGATTTGGCACAGTAGCAACCGCCGCCAGCGGTACTTGCGGATCCAGGGCGCAGCTGTACCGGGATGCAGTTCAGATCGTATCCCTCCCGTGAATCTTGCTCGTATTAGTACCTGAGGTGTGCTGTAGCTGGTGTTACCATACCCCCCGGAAGCCCCCCTCAAAATAGCTGGTTCTTATTTTGCGGCGAAAGCTTCGTCGTGTAAAAAGTGTCCTCCTTCCCGCTCTCTTGATCCATTGTCTATACTCGCTCCCTTTTTCTTTTTGAAAGAAACTGATGTGCAAATAACGCCCTTGCGTTAGTTCCGGTATGTTCCATCACCTGCTTTGTTGTCGTCGAGATTGGTCAATGCTATGCAATGCTATTCCTGTCAAATCCACCCTTCACAACTTCACAAACCTGAAGCAGCCGCCTGGGTTCGTGACGTAGGTGTGTCATCCCAAGCCTCTACCTTGTTTTACCGTCTTGCTCTCAATCCCATCCGTCTGATTATTCCCGTCCGCCCTGTCTGTGTAGTCGCAGTCTCCGCAAACACCGTTTTGTATATGCATTCTTCTTTTTTGTTCAGTCAATCAGCTCACCATTTACTTGCGACTTCGTCATCATCATCATCACCATTTTCCGCTGCAGGCGGCCAGGAGATCACTTGGCGCATGATAGCTTGGTTTCCGTCCCTCCCCCCCACCACCACTGACACCAACACCATACCTACACACCTACCTTACCTTACCTTATGTTCTTGAACAAAGTACTTGGGTTGGCTAATCAGGCTTACACGCTTGATCAGAACCAACGACAACCCAGACTAACAAGCAACGTGCACCAGCGTTTGGATACATATCCCGCCTCCCTGTCTCTTGTTTGCCAATAATACCCAATCGGTGCACACACAACCAGCAATTCTCTCACCATCGCGGAAAAGAAGGTGTGTGTGGCTGCAGGTGCCGTCATCAAGACCAGACCAGTCCCCGAAGGCATTATTTTACCAACCACCTCAATCCGCATACATTTCTTCCGTCCCGACCCAGTCGCCCCATTGGCACCAATCGACTCCAGTTGCCTATTGCAAATAATAGGTAGATAGGTAGAAAAAGGCTAAAGTCGAGCGGGCCCTGCCATGCGCACCACCAGGTTGCGTATTCTAGCAGACCGACACATCCGCCGCTAAAGAGTCGACCCCATCAGTCACCTTCTTAACACAGTGAGTAGCCCATTTCCTCTCGGTCTTTTGAGCGGACGCACAATCCTTTTGCCAAGGACATCGGATCTCTCTGCTCTTCCTTGCATCGGTCTCGGGTTGTTGTTCTTTTGGTATAAAGCGGGTGACCTATGAGACACCTTCAACACCGCCGCTGCCAATTCCCGAGCCTCCCCTACCGCATCTTATTTTAAGTAATACGGCCAACGGCAAAGACAAGAAAGAGGCACCGAAGCTGCCGGTTCAAGCCCCCTGTCTAGGCTTGCGTGCGTCTACTTACCTTCTTCTTTTCTTTAATTCTCTTGATAACAGACCTCCTCTGCAATCTTCCCCGAGTGCACCCTCTCTTCATCCGCTTCTGTTTCGTTTTGTTTGCTGGCTGGACTCAACTCACCATACCCACAGTCGCAGCAGTCGAAACCGTCGGATTAATTGCAGTACTGGCGACCTCTCCAACTGCAGCGCCTCCCTAGACCCTGTACAGGACGCAGCTAGTATCTGTCTCGTCTTCAGCGCCGACTACATCCCTCCGTGCACCATTTGGCCATATTACGGCATACCACGACCAAAGAGGTCTGCATCCCTCGGCCTCTTGGCCTTTTCGTTTTCTCGGCGGGTGTCTCAGGCGGCTCATCCCTGGGCGAGCTGAATGTCTGGCAAGATGGTCCGGAATCGAGGTTCGTCATGAGCTTTATTGTTGTTTATTTGCTCTCTCCGGGCGCTGTTCTATTTTAGCCTTTCGGCTTTGCGTCATGCTGCACATTTCCCTACCTTACCCCAAGATGAGCATGTCTTGGGACCTCATTGGTCTCACACCCCGACCTGTCTTTAATCTCTACCCATTCCACGCAGCCTTTGTTTTCTGTCTTGCTCCCGCCTCCCCAGCCTGGCCGTTTCTTCATCCATCCATCCTTCTCTCACATCACCCGTTTGGGCGCTTCCGGTGCAGCCGCTGGACCCATTGTTAATGCCCAGCGCCCACCGTCTGGGCCCGGGTCCCCAACCATCTACTGGCGCTCGCTGCATGACAGGGGCCCTGCCAGCATAGCAGCTTGGCAGGGCAGGGCCGTGGACCCTTGGTGGATGGTACTGTCAATCTTGGAGGCACGGAAGCACCCCCCAAGCCCACTAGCGCGTTCCCCCGTCTATCAATATCCGCTTTGCAGTGGCCATACCCACGCAAACGGTACCTCCCCAACTCAGGACACGCAGCATGTACTCCCTCTAATTTGCACTATTTGCCGGCGCTCATCCCTGGTGTCATTTATTGCCTACTACCTGCGCACTCTCGTCAGGTGCTGACTAGGTACTAATACGATACATGTGAACAGTCCTGTCGTTCATGTCCCAGTTTTCTGCTGGTTCAAAGGCGAACTCTCCCTCCTCCTCTCCGCCCAACGAGTCACCCTTGACCAATCCTCCCAAAGGCGAAAAGAACACCTTCGTCAACCACCAGCGTGTTCCCTCTCGTCCCCTCACACCACCGTCGAATCTGGACTATGGCACCCCTCTGAGCACCTCGCCCAATTCAAACAACAGCACCCCCAATCACCAACGACGCAGCTCACGGCCCTTGTCCATGGTTATGCCCTTTATACCACCCAGCATGGACGTCAACGAGGATACCATTCCCGAGCTTCAGCCTATCTTCTCCTTGCTCAACACACAGCAGAACAAATTCTACCATGAGGGCTATTTTTTAAAGCTGGACGACCAAAGTACTCGTACGTTCCCCCCCCCCCTCTCGGCCACATCTTGAACTGTGGTACCCCACCCACCACGCAGCATCAGTCGCATCTTTTCTTTTTCCCTCCGAAGCCTTGTTCAATCTCACCACGCTCCCCCCACCCCTTCTTGAGAATCCTCAGCAGGGAGAAGGGGAGGCGCAAGTGAAGGAGAGTTGTTTCCCAGCTGACTTTTTCGTTCAATTGATAGAGGGCCAGCCCAATGCCGACCGAACGTGGACAGAAGTCTACGCCCAGCTGGTGGGCACTGTCCTGTCCTTTTGGGATGCCCGCGAGCTTGAGGCCGTCGAAAAGATTGGCGGCGAGGTGTTACCCAAGTTCCTAAATCTCACAGATGCCTCTCTTAAGATGGTATGTTTCCCTCAGCCAGTAGCTCCGTGAGAAATACGCCGGTACCCAGTTGATTGGCTAAGTCAGACTTTTGAATCGTCTGGGTTCTGATGAAAACACACAAATGCCACCTCATTACATGGACCCTACTGACATGGTGCAGATTGATTCATTGCCAACCCGGTCTGCGGACGAAAAACCTCTGGAGAACATTCTTAGCATTTCTACGGCTGGCCGTAACCGCTACCTGCTGCATTTCAATAACCACGATGTTCTCGTGCAGTGGACCGCGGCCATTCGCCTCTCCATCTATGAACAAAATACACTACAGGAAGCATACACCGGCGCTCTAATTGCTGGCAAAGGAAAGACGCTTAACAACATCAATGTGATCATGGAGCGATCCCGGTTCAAGGTCGAAGAATGGGTCAGAGTACGTTTTGGCGCTGGCATGCCTTGGAGGCGATGTTGGTGCGTCATCACACCACCAGACGAGAAGGAGTACGCAAAGCTTCAGAAGGATATGAAGAAACGGTCGCCATACGACCGATCGCATGTCCCGGTCCTCAAGGGAGACATCAAGTTTTACGACACAAGAAAGGACGGGAAGAAGCAGAAGAAGGCTCACCCCATAGCCACCATCACCGATGCGTATTCGGCATATGCGATCTATCCCACGACCAAAGATCTCGTCGACACCTCTACCCTTCTGAAAGTTGAGGGCAGTGTGACGATACATGCAAATCCGCCCACATCTTCAGAGGGCTTCGTGTTCATCATGCCGGAGGCGCGCCCTATGGTTAGTGGGTTCGAAATGTTACTTCGGTTTCTCTTTCCCACATGGGACACTTTCGGACTTTACGGGCGACCCGGAAAGCTTGTAGCCAGTATTCTCGACCCAAGATCCCTCATGTTTGCCATGCCAAAAAACAGACGATATGGATATCTCGAGCTGGTGGATGTCATCGCTCTCCTTGCCGAGGGCGGAAATTCGAGCTGGAACGAAGAAGAATGGAGGAAGAAGCTCAAGGAGTCCACAGGCACCAGGATGAGTGCCATTGAGGATGGTACGAGGTCTCCACACTCACGCAGCGACAGCCGTGGCAGCGCACAAACCAGCGGCAATCGATCCAGGTCTCAGTCCTTGAGCTCATCTCTCCACCACGATGCGCCATCCACACAGCATCCCCCCATGCCCAGTGCGCCCTTCGGTCGCATGCGAAATGATTCGGACCCAACCTCTTTCTCCCGGCCTGGAGCACCAGAAGGACCTGGCGCCAATCTCGCTGGAGATTTCCCATTAAGAGGCCAAACGCCACTGGGCGGCTCTCCTCCTGATGGGCTTCTGAGTGACTCATTCAGTTCTGATTCGGAACGCGGCGGTTCTCCTCCTACCCTCGGACCCATGCGAGACATGAACACCCCGGAGCCAGTATCCAGGCCTCCCGAATTTGGTCATCCTGGGCAGCAACGACCAACTAGCAAAGTCTACCACTCCCCGGATTTGCGCCGGGCCAACAACCGGCTCTCCAACTCAACGCTCTCGCAGATTGCCAAAACCGGTGGGCTTGGTCTCCCTCAGAATAACAATGCTAATGAACCCCGCCGAGGCGGAATGGAGGATCATAGGATGCCTGGGCCTTCGGTACATTCAAACGCCAACTCCCTGGGGATATCTGCTAACGACAGTCGCGAAGCTGTGAACTCGAGCCCATTCAGCGGCGTACCTCCTTCATTGGGTGTCCCACAAGGCCCCCAGAATCCCTACGCACAAAGCTCAGACGGCTCTCGCCCCCAAACCTCGGAAGGCCGGAGGTCGCCCTACCCCCCCAACGGTCCTGGTCCTCGACCACCACCACACGGTTTCCCAGGTGGTCCACTGCCCCAGGGACGCGGGCGCCCTCCTCCTGGCAACGGCCCTCCACCTCAAGACTTTTATGGACGAGGACGAGGTTCAGGCCCCAGACCTCCCCCTCATCAAGGTCCTTCCCAGCCTTTCCCTGATAGAACTACCAGCATGGACAAACATAGCAGCATGACCCCCGATGCCATTATTGATCATTATGTAACAGACCATGGCCATGGACATGATGAATGGCCGAGGGAATCCAACTATCAAACAACACCGGACCGGACTGAGCGACCCCGCGTGGGCGTTCTGAAGACTGTCGGAGGTGAGGATGGGGGACCGCCACCTATGAGAAAAAACTTCGACATTCCAGATGTTGAGTTTGGCCCGACGTTTAACTATGGTGCTGGACCTCCCCGGCACAAGCCGGGCCCTGGGCCTAACGGTCCGCATGGCCAACGGCCATACTCCCCAGCAGGACCTAGACCTGGTACTGCCGGGCGAGGGTCTCCTGCCGGCCCCCATGGGCCTCAACAAAGACGGCATGACGAATCCGGTAGGACAGTGCCATGGCACCCGAGCAACTCGTCTGCAGCACCCGGACAGCTAGGGCCTGCGCCTCCAAGTCATGGTCACCCTCGGCCGATGCAAGCCGGAGGGGCTCCACCTCATCAGGGCGATCCCAGATTCATGCCTCCACCAAACCAGTACACTGGAGGCCCTGGACCAAACCGTCCGCCTCAACAGCGAAACATTCACCCTCAATACCAGGGTCAGGCATTCTGATTACAGAGCGCTCGATTTTTCACTTTCACTTTTCACATTACGTTGTACAGTACTACTCAAAATTATTGGGCACTTCAGGCACAGTGACGGTGTATGGGTACAAGAAAAAGACGTCGAGGGGGCGATGAACGAGACGAATGTAAAAATGGGCTTCATGGATGAAAGGTGCACATTATTTTCCATTTATTTTTCTCTATTTTTTTTTTACTCCTCCCTCCGCGATCAGTCACCGAGGGAGGCAACGGTTTCTTGGCGAACAGTCGTATTGCATGATTTGGAATCGCATTAGAGGAATCGAGATATCTCGACATTTACTTTGGCATGCTATTGTTATTTCTTTTGTTTGGGATTGGGTTTGGATGTTCACCGTACCTAGCATGAATAGACCCTGGTAGAGAGAGAATAAACCTCCTGCAGCACGAATTGAAAGCAATGTTTCTCACTTATCTTACTATACCATTATTAGTCGTTGCCACTGTCGCTTGCCCAGCCACCGAATATGGTGTTGAGGAAGCATGCATCAGAACCAATCGAGTGAAATCGGCCATTTCTTCCCCCGCCGATGATCTAGATGGACACCCAATCAACGTGTGATCAGCATGCACAGAGAGTCGAGTAGCGGCTAGCTCGATGGCCTGGGCCGGTAGGAGTGTAGGAGTGGTGTGGTAGGTTTTGGGCTTCTTTTCTTTTTCCTCCAATTCCATTGACGTCGGTGACTTTCGGTACATGCGAAATTCAAAGAGAGATGCTTGCTTACCCATCACCCTACGTGCATCCGTGCGTGCACACTGACGACACCGGGACGCATTTGCGGCGCGTGATGATGTGACCGAGTGACCAGGAATAGTACATCGATAGGCTGGTGTGACCAGTCGCGGTGGATGTCCATGTTTTCCAGCGTGAGCACTTTCACCCGTGGCTCTGGTGGCAGCTGCACCACTGTCAAGCTCCCCAGCTAGCTCAGAATTGACAGATCCCGGCCATGTGTGCTTGCTGTCATCTCTGCCAAACAGTCTGCTGAAGGGGGCAGACAAGCTCGCCTACAGGCAGTGCCGGGCGCGTCGTAGCCCACTGCCTTTGTGATTGTGCGGTGTACATGGCTGATGGGGCCCTATTTCAGCTCTTCCAGCGGCGATCTCATCCAATCGACAGGCAGCCACTGTACTCGACTGATGCAAACCGGTTCCTTCCCCGTCGCTATTGGAAACCTGCACCGCTGTTCGCTCGTTTCTTTTTCTCCACGATTGTTTTTTCTTTTTTTCCCTTTTCCCCTTCTCTTGTTTGCCCCCATCCGCTTCGCAAGCCGCAGTGATTGGCAGCTTGCTGCAAACCCCCAGGCCATCCTTATATATTGCCCGTCGCCGTCGTCCGCTGGCTCCGCTAATCTATGGTTGGCGCACTAGCTGGCTGACTGCACTTCCACCTGTCTGGACCTGCTTCTTCTTTTTTGTCTTCAATATAATCCCCCGATCCCAAGTGCCGCGTTGTCAGGCTTCTATGGCCAGGGTGTAATATTTCCATTTTTTTTTTGTAGCCTGCCGAGCATCTCAGGCACCGGAATACTACCTACCGACGTACACCGCGTGCGTGTGCTGTTACACAGCAGCCTTGCCCCTCCATCCATCCACACTCGTCGCCTCAACAACGGCCTTACGTTGGTTACCGCTGGTCGTGCCACAACTTTTGCGCATCGCGCTTTGAGAATCGGGATTGGACATGCTCGCCCTTGGATAAGCAGCGCCTCTACAGCTGCTTCGTCTTGAGGTTTAGAAAAAGACAAACCCTCCCATATCGCAAAACCAACCCCTCATCCCATCCCATCCCGCCAAAGCCTTGGTTGGTCGTTGGCCCCAATGGACGAGGATGAGCCTACCCAAGGTTTGTAGTTGCTAGGCCAGGACCTCTACCCTCAACGATGCTATTCCCATTTGCTAACGGCCATCTCCTGTACTGATAGCGACTCAAAATGTCCTCGACCCTCGTCGCGTAGGGAAGCAAAATTCGGGCTTCTCTGACGAGGACATCTCCGATATCATCTGCATTCTGTATCCTCACTCCGAGTCTGCCCGCCAAGAAGTGCTGCGCCTGGCACATGACGACTCGCCATATATAATTGGGAAGGATGAAATGGACAATGTCGAGCCCGATTACGACCTCGAGGATCATGCCAGTCGCTTCGAATCGAACCCCTCCGGACACGGCAACTACGCTCTTATCCTACGACTTTCGTCCGGTGTCAAAAACCCAGCATCTGGTTTCGCTTTCGGACGAAACATCAACAGGTGTGATGTCGTGTTCACGCACGATCCCTACAAGCGTGTTAGCAACATTCACTTTCGGATATATGTCAACGAGTATGGTAATGTCATGGTCGAGGACCAGTCCACGAACGGCACCTTTGTTGATCGGACACTGCTACTCTCACGCTCAAAAGACCCATCAAAGCCGCCCATTACACGGCGGGTTCTGACTTCCGGCTCCCTCATCAAAATTCTCTTGCACAACGAGTCCAAGGACCTGACCTTTCGTGTCCGGATACCACGACGAGACGATGAGTATGCAGGTGCGTACAACACCAAAGTCGCCGAGTACTTTGTTCGAAATCAACTTGCTCGCGAATCAGACACGATACGTCCAAGTGACAAAGGCCCTCCTGATATCTTCCGAACGGCTGCCGAGAATGCAGGCGGCGGGCATAGGCCCAAGGAAACTACACCAGCCCGATCCATCAACAAACGTGGGGAGACCATCCGGCCTGAGTGGAATGGTTCTGGCAAGTACAACCGAGTCGGTATGATTGGCAAGGGAGCTTTTGCCGTTGTGTACAAAGTGACCTCGAAATACGACGGGCGACCCTATGCTGCAAAGGAATTAGAAAAGCGGCGGTTCATCAAGAACGGTGTTCTGGATCAGAAAGTCGAGAATGAGATGAAAATTATGCAGCGGGTCGAGCATGTATGCCTTCCTTCGCCCCCTTTTTCTTCCACAAGAGCGGTTTTTGCTAACAGTTACATTCTCTAGCCAAATATTGTTCGGTACATCGAGCATTTTGACTGGGATGAGCGCCTTCTCATAATCATTATGGAGTATGTTCCCGGTGGTGACCTGGGAAAACTCATATCGGAAGAGGGCCCCTTCGACGAACATATGGTCAAGTCGATGGCCAGGCAGCTTCTGGATGCCTTGAATTATTTGCACACGAAGAACATTACCCATCGAGATGTCAAGCCGGACAACATTCTCATCAACTCTCTGGAGCCCCTGGAAGTAAAATTGACTGATTTCGGCTTGTCTAAGATGGTCGACAGCGAGCAGACTTTCCTTCGAACGTTCTGTGGAACGCTCCTCTATTGTGCTCCAGAAGTATATACAGAGTACGCCGAGTACGATGAGAATGGCTATCGTAACAGGGGCAAAAAGTCACGCCGGATGCCAGGTCAGAGGTACAGCCACGCTGTAGATATCTGGTCACTCGCTGGCGTTCTTTTCTTCACACTAACCAAATCGCCTCCCTACCCCGTGAAGACCGGCATCAGTCACTCAGAGCTTCTTCATAAGATCATGACGACTCGGTTGGGCATTGCGCCACTTCAGGAGTTCAGCGTATCAGAGGATGGAATCGACTTCTTATCCCGCATGCTGCAAAGAAGGCCAGAACAGAGAGCGACAATTGAGGAGCTAGCTGAACATCCCTGGCTTGGGGGCCATGGATCATCTATTCAAGCATCTCAATCTTTTGACGAAATAACCGACGATGAGGATATGGCAGCGCAACTAATGGATCTACCTTGGAACGATCAGGGAAGAATAATCGACGTATCAGACGACGAATCCGAAAAGGAAAACGGGGCCAACTTTCGACCTGGACGCCGGTCACAGCAGCAACGTCTCTTTGGTGAAGTCGGCATATCAGCTATCGGCAGCTCAGGGGTCATTCCAGGCGACTTCCTAAATCTACCAGCGGATGATACAAGCATGAGAGAGACAGAAATTCTAGGCCCAGATGGGGATGAAGCATATGACTCGGGTGAGGATATAGCACGAGCTCGTGCTCTGTCGCATTTCCACCAATCTGCAGATCAGCTGCAAAGCTTGGTGGAGAACGTGGCCTCTCAAAGTCTCGGTGATAAGGAGAATGAACCCGCACAGCCAGATTTGTTGTCATCTCGGTATCAGTCGGACTACCTGAATGGCAGTAAGAGGAAACCCCCTTCGCAGGAACTGAGTGACTTGTCAGACGAAAATACCCCTACCGAAAAGCCTTTCATAAAGCGGCTCAAATCGGAGAGCAATATAGAGGGACTGTCTGAAGGCGCTATTGAGGAACTGAGGCTACTGGCATGCATTCCCCAGATTAACAGACTAAGCTCTGGTCGACAGCTAGATGAGCCAGTTGACAAGGTCACGTTCTGGGAGCAGGATAGAACCACATGGCACCTGAATTATCCCGAAATGACTCAGTTGCAGTATGATGCTTTTAATCAGGCTGCTCGAGACAGAGGAGAAAAGTTCAGGCCTGGTCAAACGCCGCTATGGGACTTGGCTAGAAGATATTTCCCTCCAACCCCAAGGATGGTCGAGCAGCCAAGACAGGACGTGGCCGACTTTCCTCCGACGGCAATGCCAACTGATATCGAGTCTATTCCAGACACCCTGCAGCCCGATCCTAAGATCGAATATACCATTCCTGCGGTCGGCGCAAGAGCAATTGGTCTAATCGAGTCCAGCATGACTTCTCTAATCAATGGTGTCTCCTTTCCAATTACGGACTCCCTTGTCTCCTTTGGGCGAGGACCGGAAAACACAGAGGTCTTCGAACCTCCGTCCGAGTCCCGCATACCCAAATATGCGTTCAAGATTCTGCTTTGGAAAGAAGGGTATGATCCCGCAAGAGATCCCGCCAAAGTGGTCCCTCCATGGGTGCATTCTTCAGCGGCAGACGAAAGCAGCTACGGTTTCTACCTATCCACAAAAGCAACTCTTGGTATCCGCGTGAATGGTCAGGTGGTCCCCTCATCGGATGCTAAGAACCCGAGCGGGCCATCACGATACTGGACGCGGATTCACGATGGCGATGATCTCGTCGTTTGGGGTCAAGAACCCCATAATCAAACAAGCCTAACATTTCGCTGCTTCTGGGGCTCATCGTCAAGCCCCCGACAGGACAGAAATCACGCCCTGGAGTTTGCGCCCGAGGAACTGGCCCAGCAACTTGACCTTGCCTGTCAGAGAACCGAGAAACGCATCCGTGATGCAGGTGAAAAACGACTCAAGAACGGCGCCGCCATATCAGATCTCGAAGTACGCACCCGCACGGTTGACCTGGAACGTGCTAGAAGCATAGAGTTTGAGCAGAGAAGGCAAGAGGCCATCACGTTTATCCAGGCACGACAACTGCCAAACTCCAGGAGGTCGTCGCCCGCCAGCGCTCCACCCACAGTGACGATGGGAAGGGTCCCTCCGCAACTGGCATGAGGAGGGAACCTAATTGACGTGAGGAAAGAATTTGAGTATGTAATAGAGAGCGTCTTGTTTTGGGTGTCGCATGATGGGACTATTTACACCATTTACAAGTTGTATGGGTTGGTGTCACTTGGATTGTTAGTGGTGATCTGAGGATGAAAAGGACGGATATGATTCGGAGATCTAGCAACTCAATTATATAGTTTAGCATGATAAGCAAGCCTAAAATAACATTATTCTACACTACATGTGGTTAATTCCGGCTGGCTATCAGATGTTGTCACGTACCGCGCTGAGGCGAAAGAAAAGATGTCAGTTGATGCAGGTCTCATTGAAAATAGCTACGTAATGCTAGAGTATTCGATCTAAAGCTCCCTCCTGATCCTTCACATCTCCATTCCAATATCATCTGCAAGCCGAAGCCAGCAGGATATCAACATTGAGAATGCCAACCACCACCAAGTAATGAGCGTCCTCCATCTTCCTCAGGTGATGATACGCATCTTTGAAGAAACGAAGACAGTTAAAGGGCAATCCTAAGCAGAAATTCGAGTTCCAATCCGTTGAACATGATAGGCGGGTGCATAGATGTTGTTAAGGGCCAACTGGGAAAACACCCTGTACCCAAAAGCAAAAGAAATACATAAAAGAAGTAAGGACCATGTAGCAATTCCATCTCGGTCGTTGGTCTCATTGTCTCATTCGGTCATTGACGGCATCCGATCGTTATTGGTGTGCGTACATGTCGCATGTAATGATAACACAAAGCGCCTTTTTTTGGTTCGAAACCCATCAGTCTTCGGCTGCTGTGCTTCTCTTCTTATACGGCGCTTGCTTCGTTGACAGACTGTTGAAGAAAAAAGAGAGTAAAATCCGAAAATCCGAAAGGCATGGCTTCACTCCATATATTCATTCATCTCACTATATTCATGTTAGTTCGCCAAGACAGTTTTTTTTCCGTCTGCGTCTTTTTGCTTTTTTTTTTTTTTTTTTTTGTTCTTGTTTTTGGTCGAATCCTTTGTTGGAAAGTAGTCTCAAGCATTTTTGCCCCTGAGCGAGAGTCGGCCAAGGGCTAGTTCATGAGATGTGAGATTCGTAGCTTCCAATATTTCTGGCCGGCTACAGTAAGTATTTAACAAGCTTGTTGACAGATAGCTCGTTGAACCCTGTCACTTTGTTAAAATCTGTTCCAATATCTTGTGATGGTCAATGTACTCACCGAGTAATAGGCAACATAAGGCCCACGTCACTCTCGACATCCGAGTCAAGGATTTCCTCGATGGGAAACTTGGGGAACTCATACTCCGCATAGTTTTCTTTGTCTGCCTTGGTCCAGGCATCTGTGTCTCCGCAGTTCTGGGAGTTGTATGCATCAAAATAAAAGTGGTTTGGCTTTGGCTTTGGCTTCGACTTTGAGTCTGGGCCTGGAACTGAGCCGTGATACCAATTATAACTTCGTTTTCCCTCGCGAGGATACACTGGCTCCTCATCGGAAGAGGCTGCACTGGCGGACGGACTGGACCCGAAAGGGGATTCGGCAAACCAGGTACGATTGCGAGGGAAGTTATCGCGGTCGTTCTGTTGAGGGCCGAATCGCTCCTAGTGATTACGAGCAGTCTCTGGGAAGTGGTGGCCGCCAGGAGTGTTGGTAGAAAATGGTGGCGATGTCTGGTCCCCTGGGGCTGGTCCAAAGTTGTTTGGCTCTCGAAGGAATGGACTTCGGGGGATCTGTGGCGTTCGTGGGGATCCATCTGCCTTCTCAGATTTATGGTAGTCTCTCCCAGAAGACTCCTCCTTTCTGGACTGGTCATCGGGCCGGAAATCACGATTTGGCGATGGGTTGTGGCTTTCGGACTTGGGTGTTCCCTTTGTTGCCCAAGAAGAAGTAGCTGAAAAGTTCCACGAAGTCGGATCGAACCCAGCATCAGCACTGAATGCACCGCCAGTAGTCCTGGGCAGTATGTGTTCCGTCTTGGGGGATCGATGATCCTGGGAACTGCTATGGTAAGTGGCAGGTGATGCTGCAGACGTTGGTGAAGAACCCGACTCAAAACCCTCAGCGTTGGATCTAGCGAAGGAAGTACCATCTTCAGGTCCATGTAGGTTTGGGTCCAAGTTACCCCATGAATGATAATTCATGTGGTTCCTGAATGATGAGCGGTTGCTGCCATTCAAGACTTGTTCATCCTCAGGAATGTCCCGCCTTGGAGCGTCATTGGCAGGTTCCAAACCCGAGAATGCAAGATTTCCAGGCCCATCGTATGAATACCCTCCAGCACTCGATTTACCAATCGGATTTGGGTAGAAAGCACTCTCGGTACCTTGACGGAACAGTTTTTGCTCAATACTGAGGTTGGATGTAAGGTCTTCAACGCGAGGTGGGCTATATTTCATCTTTCTTCGCATAGAATCCTTGTTAGAGGTTTCTGAGACGTTCGCCTTGGGACGAGCCAGCTTTTCCTTTGACTTCGAGCCTTCCCGTACTCGATGTTCACGTGGAGACTTCCTCTTCGATTCTTTAGAAAAGACCACCGAGTCTGCAACGCCCTTCCCTTTGTTGGAAGATGCAATCTCCTGGCGACTCTGATCGAGGTAATTCTTTGAAGCCGATCCAATTTCATTCGAACGCAGAACGTGGCCATATTCTCCGACGACGGAGCAATCAACCGTTGTCTCAGAAGTGCGCATCTCACTCACGCATGTCGCACAGTAATTCGGAAGTAGAGCCTCTCCCTTTTTCACAGGATGAGCCTTGTGAAAGCGCTTCGACCGAACTATGCCACACCCAAAACAGATGTGCCGGCTGCCAATCACGCCTCTCTCCATCATGGCATCTCGGCAATTGGAGCATATGTTTCTGATAGGACCCTGTCCAGGGTCTACCGGGTGGCTGTCATGGTACTTGGCTGATCGAACTGAACCGCAACCGAAGCAAACGTGGTACTTGACACTTGGCTCAGGGCTCTCTGCCCGTTGTCCCATGAGCACTGCCTCTGAACAAAGCGCCTCGCTTTGGGCGCGTCCCTCATGCTGGTTTGATTTCGTACGGGCCCGAGAGGTCTTGTTTTTGACCGGGGTGGTAAACTTCGACGGGCCATCTTCGCCCTCAAACGAGGCAGTGGAATGTTTGTGTGAACAAGGCGAGCATGTTGCCTGTGAGGGAGATGTCATGGCCTCATTGAGAGTTTTGTTGATTTCATGGCGAAGAGTGTGCAGTTGATAGTTCAAAACAACATCATGGGGCCGAGCGGCCACTTCTTTCTCCTTCTGGTCGATTTCAGACTGAAGGATGGACAGCTTTTGAGAGATACTGTTACTAGAAGAACAAGCAGGAATTCCAACAGGGGCCAACGGGGCTTGGGGATATGTCAAAATAGGCGCGGCTTGATGTTGCGCCGGCTGTGCAAAAATTGGAGGTGGCTGAGACAGCGGAGCAAGTATATTCTGAGTCTCTGGAGCAATCTGAGTAGGTTGTAGGTGTTGAAAGCCTTGGATGGGCTGAAGAACTGGGAATGGCGTTGTGGTGTATACTGGCGGGTAGCCGGGGACAGCTTGCGGAACTGGATGGGGGACGCTTGGAGGCGACGTCCCCCGGCTTGACGCTACTTGCTGCCCTTGCGGCAGGTGGTAAGAAGGAGTTTTGGCTGGAGGTGGCGAATCAACCTTCTTGTGTTTTCGGTTCTTGTGCTTTTTGCTGGGCGAACGATGAACGGTCCGGGCAGAAGTGCTCCTCTTGGGCGAGACCGAAGCCCGCTCTCTTGAGGCTCGAGATGACTTTTCAGGGGAAATCATCTTGGCTCTCGATTTCTCTGAAGACTTGGGACGCGTTGTTGATCGGCTTCTTGTTTTTTTCTTGGAAGAGGACTTCTGTTCCAGTCGGCTAGTCCTGGGTCTGTCGCTTTCTTGATCGCTTTCAATATCTTCAGACCAGGCCACGGAATCGTCTTCGGTAGATGATTCTTCGTCGCTTTCGCTGTTCTCAAGGTATTCATCAGAGTCGTAGAATGGTGATTGGGCTTGCTGTTGCTCTTGACGCCGGATGCTTTCTCGAGTCGGGGTGCCAAAGAGAGCTGCCATGAGATCAACACCCAAAGGTTGCTGCCTCTCTTTATGGCGGTTCTGCTTCTGCCGACCCATTGTATTCAAGCAAAGAGATACGGGTTCAAGCGAATGACAGCGAGTTTGAAGGAGGAATCGGGGAGCTGAAGCTGAGAGAAAATCGAGATATACCTAAGTAAGCCCAAGGTAGGATTCGGTTTGAAGGAGAGGAAAGAAAGCCAAGAGAGGCTGAGGGAGAGAAACTGTGTGTAGCTTTGTGATGGCAAATTCGACCGGGTGCCGACAGTGAAAAGCAGGAGCGAGATGCTCTCTACTAGATACCTTGGATTGGAGGTATCTACCTGTAGCTTCCGCCAATGCCACTAGGTAGATGAGGTACCAGAGGGTATTTCGCTTGTTCCTCGAGGTGCGTCACGCGACAGGCGGCAACAGTTGCCAGCGCTTGCACTGGCCACTCGGCCCTCAGTTCTTTCTCACCTTAGCTGGGTCCTCAGTAAGGGCTACAGAGTGCGTGTCAGTCCTCGGGGCCTCCACCATAGCCTTTGCTCGCGTTCTAAATATGTAGGTCTTGTTGCTCGTGCTGGTTGTCGTGATTGCCTCCTAGCTCGTTCTTCGCCTATCACGATGGGCTTGGCTCGCACAAGAAGAGGTCCCGGATGAAACCTTTCAGAAGTTGACCGCGGATAAGAATAAAACCCCTTTTGGGCCGACGTTTGGCTCTGACTGGAAATGATTCGTGGGCTGCGTGTGTTCAAGGAAGACTGCCCGGAGACACGGCAGAATGATTGATTGATTGATTGGTGATTCGTGAGATGAAACCTCACTTGTTGTGACAAAACAAGAAGAAGGGGTTTATAATTACTATGAAAGACGGAAACACTAGACGTGGATGATGATTCACGGCATGGCTACAGCCAGCCGGCTTGATTGATTGATTGTATTGATTTGCACCCTCCGCCTATTGTCTCTCCACCAATAATGCATTCGGCTACCAGGTGACAATCTCGGCGGGTTCAGCCTCACATTGTAGTCCGGTGGCATATTCAAGGGGGATCCGTATCGTTCTTAGCTCTTTTTTTCAAATCTGGGTCAAATCATACAAATGTTTGTTAATACATTCAGGCACTTCTGTCTATATATGGCGCCCTTGAGCCTGCTCTTGCTAGGAAAAATCTTCGTATAATACTCCGCGGTTGCTCGAAATTAGTCCACACGAAGGACACGGGGCCCCTTCTTCTTCGACGACTTCTTCTTCTGTCCGCGATCGAACGAAGCGGCGGAGAAAAGGTCTCGTCCAACGTTGTCGAGATCCTTGACTTTGTAGATGCGGATGATCCAGTTTTCAGTGGTGTAGGCCTCTTCGATGGTGTTGAGAACAGGGCCTTGATCAGGCAGGCGAGAACCACGAACACGATCAACCGTTTGTCCTGCGGGGAACAAGGAGTGGTAGTTGTAGTAAGACATCTTGTACCTGAAAACTGGTTAGCATCGAGTAAACATTGCATCTATTCTTCGCTGCGCGCATCAACTTACATCAAGCTGTTCTTCATGGTGTCGGTAGCTTCGGCATCGACACGGTATTCGCCACGGCTGGTAAAGAAGTTGCGTTCTTTGACCTCTTCGGGCCAAATACCCTCAGCAATACGAACCATCCAGAGGAACTTGTTGATATCATCACCAGAGTAGCCCAGAAGACCACCAAACACAACAAGCACATAGTCCACCTCGTGCTGACGCATGATAGGATAGCTAACCTCTTCACTAGAGCTCATAGCCTTTCCAACAGTGGCAATATGTGTGTTATTCCAGGTGTTGTTGTCCACCAGGGTGGGTCGGTCAGCCATACCGCCAATCTGGTAGCCATAATCCCACCAAGACATGATCTTGGCATCCTCCTTGGTATTCTGGCGAAGCCACTGGTAGGCCTCGCGGTAGTCATCAATGATGTGCTGGCTTCCATCAGGCATGCGGCTAGCAAGCACCACTGACGGCGAAGAGTACGCATTTGATGTGACCCAGGTACAGTGGGATACGAACAGGAGAAGATACACGGCCATGCCGCCAACCACTAACGCCTTTGAGACAAATGTGAAAATTCCCACAGCTGGCTTCGAGGCAACCCTGAGGCCTGATGTTTTTACAGGCTTAGCGTCGGTAGATCCAGCATCGGCAACCTCTTCTACGTTGGGCTTCTTCGCTGACAAGTAGGTGTCGAGAATCTGGCTGGCTGCCATAGCCGCAGCAACACACACGATGGGAGTGAGAGTCAGCATCAGACGGACCATGACTCCTGCGAAGTAGCTGCCAAACAGGGCATAAACTACGACGAAGACATGCTCGTCGCGGAGGTCCTGGAAACAGAGGTATACCCCAGCGGGGAACAGCCAGATGAGCATGTTGAGATCGAAAAAGAAGGCTGGCCAGGCTGTAGGCTGATGTTCGGAGACGGAGGCAATGATGGGAATGTGAATCTTGGCGTAACCAGTATCCCACAGAGAGTAGAATCGACCGCTCCACGGGGCAATGTATCCCAGGGAGGTCAGGCCAACCAAACCAGCCAGTCCGATGCCAACAGCTCCGACGATGACAGTGATGACAAAGGTCTTGAACTGCTTAGCAGACATTGAAGATCGGACATACTGGAGGAATCCGACTAGCTGCACAAATCCAAAGATACCTGGAAATGGGACCGTCAGTGTCGATGAAACATGGACAGCAGCGACGACAAGAACTTACCGAGGGCGGGCATATGCTCGCTGGTTTTGACGGGCAAGAAGCCGACAAATGGAATCTGCATGCTGGCAAGTGTTCCAAGAGCATACCAAGTGGTGTAGCTCACGTAAAGCCTGTTGCTGAACCGTCCCATGCCAATCAGCACAAAGGCGTGGAGAGGCAGGATACAGGTGATGAATGCATAACCACCCCAGGAGGCAACCATGTAGCCATAGAAAAGGGCGCAGAGCGCGCCCCAGAGCATAGATCCAAGCTTGAGAGCCTTGATCCAGAGGTAGAATGTAAAGACAAGTAGGAAAATGGCGATGGCCTCGTTATCGTAGCTGCCGGCGACTGATCTAGAAATGTATCCAGGGGTGATGCCCATGAAGGCAGCAGCGAGAAGACCAGCGGAAGAAGACGTGGTCATTTCATTGGTCAAAAGATAGGCGGCGTAGGCTGTCAGGCCCGAGAAGGCCGGGGCGAGAAGAACACAGATGTTTCGAATGTCGACGGGGACAGTGAGAGCTCGAAGCGCGTGGTAGATGACACCACTGGTCACCATGAGACCAGGGTAAAGCGTGCCTCCGGTGACACGGCCCAGTGGGTGCCATGTTCGATCATCGAACCAGTCCCAAAACTTGTAGAAGCCATTGGCGACGAGGTACTTGGTAGCTCGGAAGTTAAACCATGGGTCAACTGTAGATTTCGTCAATTAAGCACGGTGATGGCGATGGGGGAATTCGGAAGCAACATACATTCGTGGATGATACTCTCAAACCCTGGAATCGAAGCGTTAGCAATTTGCAAAGCTGGTGAAGAGAACCCAATGCTTGATTCGTGGCCAAAATGACAGTTGGCGTCATCCCACGATGGTCGACTTACGGATCACAGAGAACAAACGACTGGCGACTGCGGCAGCAGCAATCAAAAAGAGAATAGAGACTCGTAGGAGGGTCCTCGTGTTTTGGCCATTGATGCCCGAGGAGGCACCTTGCGTTGCGACCGCCATTTTTGACCACAGTAGACGGCAATGCGAGGCCTGCTTGCTTGGCTGTGATTGAGTAGGGTGGTGGTGGAGGTGGTAATTGCAACGGAGCTCGTAAGGACAGCTTAATCGTAACGGACTGCAGGTCCGGCAATTATCCGCCGCAGATAAGCACCACATCCACGTCAACGCTACGCACGCCAAGTTACAGCAAGCACGTACGTACTACCGTTCAGGGGGTCGCGTCTGCTTACTATTACCGTAAGGTACGTACGTCCGATTTATTACTCGACACAGAGGTTGATATGAATGTGGCACACCAAACGTCACCCTCGGCCTGTAATATGTATGTAAGTAAGAGACGCAGTGCGCTTTGGTTGACAATAACATCAATAATGGTTTATAAAAGTTAACAAAATCCCTTTGCCTTTTAATTTCATTAGTTTTATTGTTTCTTGAGCTATAGTTCTTCAGCCATCAGAACGTTCGAGTTGCCTTCATGCGCCATACTTTATGTCACCCATCTGAGAGGCCACCAAACACTTATTAGACTTTAGACTTCATATCCATGGTCCCCTCACGTAAAACCAGTTAACGATATAAATGTTGTAGGTCTCTCCTTTTTTCTAGCTCGTCCATAATATACCTTAGATGGAACACAAATAGACAGGTGTATGTCCACTCTCACCTGATAACGAAGGTTCTCACGTAGTCTAGCAATAGATATACCATATATTGCCTCTTCAGCTTGCATAGTCGCCCCTGCACTGATCACAGTCATGATAGACACGCGCTTTGAGTCTAATTTATGTGTAATGTAATTTACACCTGTACACAAAACAAGTGTGACAGAACCTAAGGAAAGTCAATGCAGCCAATTTGCTCGCAGTTCCAATCATACAACGAGGCTGCAAGTGAACCTTGTAGTCATCTCCCATGATGACGAAAAGCTTTTCTGGCTCTCCGTATAGAGCGGCTTTGCCCTTAATCTAGCTATCTTCCCTCGCCTGTTACAGCCATTACACCTATCCTAACATTGCCCCATCCCAGTACGTCTATGCCTTCTGCTCGGATACCTTGAGGAGGAGCTTCTCGAGATCGAACTTGGGGTCGGAAGGGTCGGTGGTCACTAGTATCTTGCTATCAGTCGGGTTCTCTTTGGCCACGTCGAATTGAGCCCTCAGTCCCTCGAGGCGCTCAAATGGAACCCAGGCGAGGGGTCTCCGAAAAGAGAGCTGACATACCGTCACTTGATGAGGCGGGTGCGGGGTTCTTCTGTTTGGCATACTCGGCCTTGGCCTGGTCGATCTTCTTCTGCTTCTCCTGGTATTCGTGCTGATCGTGCTGGGCCCTCTGGGCGGCCGTTATCGATCGCTGGTGGGAGAAACCGTAGAACACGCCCACAGCCAGGGCGGACCACCGCAGGACCTGGAATGAATCCAATTAGCTCAAAAAATCCTCCCGAGAGACCGTCGAACAGGCGAACAAGGCTTTTGGAAGCCTTTTGGGCGGCGCAAAGGGTGCAAGACGGCTAATCCGGCTATGACAGAATAACACGCACATTAACTCCGGTCGATGACATTGGCGCGAGAGTCGCAGGGGTTGCGACAAGTTGAACAAAAGGAAGGGGCGTAGATGAGGCAACGAGGGACCTGACAATGGCTGTCAATTGACCTTGTCTAGGTGGTTCGGAGGATGCTGGCGGCGTTGAATGGCAAAGATGGGTTCAAATTTGGTCGGGAAAAGTCGCAGTTTTTCCTCTGGTTACTGGTTGGCCGAGCCGGGGCAGCCACAGCAGCGGCCATCAGCCACATTCTCGGTCGAGCGCCAACCTAATTGACCCATCCGGCGCCTTACCTCAGCAACGACGGAAGTTTGATTCGCGTGAACTACCGGTATATCTACTGGCGATTCGATAAGCCCAGGGTTCATGATTCAGAATAAATGAAGAATATTCCCAACTTTTTGCTATCCGTCATGGCATCCCAATTTATATAGCACCTCACGATGCTGATCTACCCTTGAGCTGGGCAGCCTATCAGGGTGGGTGACATCTTCAGCACTGGTTAATGTACTGGACCTACCCCTGCAGCTGAAGCTCTCCTGGGTTAGTCCCAGGCCCACATAGAGACCCCCCAAATCAAGCAGCATTAGCTGCCATAACACGCTTCTACGGCGCCCAGGATATTATTGGTGCATTGAGTTGAAGGTAGACATACAGAGCTGGGCTCCCCAAATAACAAGAATATGCGATAGCCTCTCCCACCATCCGCTCTTTATTCCTTATTTTCAGTGACGAAGTTCAAGGGAGTGGTTTATTCAGTCCCGGAAAATACACAATTTACTCCTCTTTGGTCCATACATCCACCAGCTGCGAATATCGAGATCCGCCTCCGATTTGAACAACACCCCCGATTTGCGCTCGACCCGCAATGGGAATTTGAACCAAACGAAATGGAACAACGACGAGAGGAGATCCGCGCGAAGGCAGCCAGGCTCGCCGAGCTCAAGCGGGCGAGAGCCCTACGAGGCTCTTCAGAAAGTCGACCTAGCATAGGAGGAGATCTCAGTGATGTCGGTCTTCGCCTGCCCTCTCACCCCCTACTTCGTGTTGCGGCAGGATGCTAACCTATCCATAGATCAGAGTGGGCGGCGCCTCGAGAGCAGACGAGCGAAGGAAGATCGACTCGTTCATCGACTCACTCCTCGGTGAGAGTCGCCCGGGCTCTACTGCTCCAGGAACGGCATCGCCAGGAGGCTTCCAACGCGGCAGCAGGCCGAACAGCATCCTCAGCGCGGGCGAATTGAGCAACGAAACATCCGAATCCGTACCCCAGCCTCCAGCAACACCCTCCGCCCCCGTACCCCCTCCCAACCTAACTACAGCGGTGCTTACCACCGTTTTCGAGTGCCCCCCGTCGCCGGTCAAGGAAGTCTTCTCCTACAGCAAGGGTGTGCAGACAACAGAGGCGTGGACGGAGCCTGCCAGACCTCGGGCGCAATCAACAATAGTGGATGTGGACGACATCCCAGGAACGGTTCTCTCGCCCAGCAAGCGGCCGAGCAGAAGAGAACGTGACCGGGAAGAGGAATTGCGGCAGAAGATCAGGGAGGAGCTTGAGGAGGAACTCAAAGCTGCCAAGGAATTCATTGCAGATGGCGTGGTGCCGGCGGCGACCTCGACCAATTATCCTTCAAGAGATCTTACGAATGAGGAGCTCGATGCTGTAATACATTCAGACGATTTCGTGGATTTTCTGGACCGGTCAACCAAGGTTATTGAGCGAGCGTTTAATCAGGAGACATACGACATTCTGACCGACTATGCCTTGCAAGGACAGGAGGTGGAGGATGAGGACGAGGAAACCGGCAATACTGGAGGCCGTGGAAAGCACAGGGTCAAGGAGGTTGTTCAGTTTTTCGATGAGCGTTGGTCCAAGAAACGAATGATCAGCGGAATCGACTTCTCTCCAAAGTTTGGCGAGCTGCTCCTCGCATCCTACACGAAGAACCCGACAGCACCACACGAGCCAGATGGCCTCGTTCAAGTCTGGAACGCCCACATGCCCGAGAGGCCCGAATATGTCTTCACCGCGCAATCGGACATTCTCACGGCCAAGTTCTCCCCTTACCACCCCAACCTCATTGTTGGAGGATCATACAGCGGACAGGTACTGCTCTGGGATACGAGAGCAAAGGCAGCGCCCGTTCAGAAAACCCCATTGACGGGCTACGGTCATGCCCATCCTATCTACTCAGTCGATATCGTGGGAACGCAAAACGCCAACAACATCATATCCTGCTCAACAGATGGCGTCGTCTGCGGCTGGAGCATGGACGTCTTCGCTCAGCCCCAGGAGCTCCTGGAGTTGAAGAACCCCAGCCAAGCCAAGGTCGCCGTCGAGGACGTCAGCCCGACATGCCTCTCATTCCCCCAGACAGATCCTACATTCTTCCTTGTGGGCAGTGAAGAGGGTAAAATCTTCCCCTGCCATCGGTACGACCGCGCCGGTGCCAAGGCCGGAGTGGACAAGAAGATCAGCTACAAGGGCCACACAGCACCGGTCATGTCAGTCGATTTCCACCCCGCCAAAGGTCCTGTGGACTTGGGCGATCTCGTCATCTCTTCATCTCTCGATTGGAGCGTCAAGCTGTGGAAGGTGCGCGCGCCCGCTGCCACATCTACAATCGGAGCTGGCGATGGCAACATCAAACCGCTGATGGACTTTGTCCGGGAGGACGTGGTTTACGATGCAAGATGGTCGCCAGTGAAGCCCAGCGTGTTCGCGCTCGTCGATGGAGCCGGCTGGCTAGAGCTTTGGGACATCGCCGTGGAGACGGAGGAGCCTGTATCCAAGATCTCACCAAGCGCCCGACAAGACGGCAGAACAATGCTCTCCAAGAGCCTGAACAAGGTGGCCTGGGAGCCCAATGAGGGCAAACGATTGGCAACCGGCGGCATAGATGGCTCCCTAACGCTGTTCGAGGTTGCCAGTGGCCTGGGCGGAAAGGAGGGACTGAAGAACGAAGACTGGACCAACATGAAGAAGCTGGTAAATCGGGTGGACGCGGTTGGGGTCAATGGAGCAGTTGTAGTTTAGCGATTTGCATTTGACACATGGAACCATTATAATGCATTAACAGATTGTTAGTTAGCCAGAGGTGATTGAATAGTATTATACCCGATTATCCATATTCAAATGCCAATAACTCGCAAGGGATGCGCTTGTTGAATACCATAATTACCTAGGTAGTAGGAAGAGGTAGTTGGGGATGGGATGGACCCCTGCCTTCTAGTCACGTGAATGTTATCTACTAAAGATTTCTGTCGAGTCCACTCGTGCTCCAGCGATTGTTTCTCCCTTAATGCACCTTCTGATCCTCAGCTTGGTGACAGAAGGTTTCTATGGTAAGTGGTGGAAATCTTTTCTTTGATTCTTATATCCTACATGATGGCATTCATTTATATGAATTCTGCAATTCTGAATCGGCCTACATTTTTGTAGGCTCGACTGTCGACAACCTCTAGCTGATCAAACTCCTCCTCGATTCTTTCGTTCACCCTTGGTTCGAATCGCCTGTTCACTGCTAACCAGGTAAAAGAATAGTATCTAGTGATTATTCCCAGCAATTGCGGCGGCGATGGTGTGTAGCGACCAGACTTTGACTTGGTCGCTCTCTCAATTTGCCAAAGCCAGCACATTCAGGTCTACTATCAACTTGGTAGAACTATCAGATGTATATAGATGGGAGCCCCGTATTATGAATAGCAGATTCACGTTGCAGAAACCAGTCAAGAATAGCCAGGGATGCATTCAGCATATGTTTGTGATTGTGTCTACGTTCTGACGCTGTTTATGTTTTCAGATACACATCCACCCGTATCTAACTACTGAGCCGATGAAGAAAGAAGAGGCCCAAAGGCACGGGAAGTCGGTGGAATGTTCCCAAATCCCATCGATTCAAACTACCCATGCCCACATCACTGGGTGATGATGACCACCACCTTTTCGTTTGGCAACTCAGAAATGTTGCCACTACCGCTCCTCAGAACTTGACCAGAAGCTCCTCGTCCTTCTGCGCCCCAAGCTTCTGGTTGAATGCAGCAGGAGCCAAACCCTCCTGTGGCTGCAAACCAGCCGCAGGAGGTAGAGTGCCGCCGGTCATGGTACCAGCCACGGGCAACGGGGCGGCCTCTTGTTTCATCTCCATCGGGTTTGAGCTCCTACCCATCAGCTCACGAGGACCCTTCATCCCCAGTCCCCTATGTCTCTCCCTCCACCACCTCGGAAACTTGTCCAGGCCGATAGCCTTGAGCTCCCCTGCCGACTTTGGCATTTTGTGTGAGAGGCTGCACTTGAACCCTCGCTTGCACACCCCGTGGTGGCACCACTCCTGGCAGAACCCGAGCTTCTGGGTCCGCTCAAAGATGCCCTTGCCATGGCCGTAGATGTTCGCTCTCATGGAGCTCTGGCGGGGAGGGGGGTAGTTGCCAACTTTCTGGCGCCTGTGGAGCTTGCTGTTCTCAGAGGTCCGGCTCCCGGTTGAGAAGCCTCGCGGCCCGTGCTCTTTATGTCGCTTCTCGGAGGGCTTTGTAGGAACGGCGGCGTTGCTCATCGGGGTGTCGATAACGTGGTTGTCCTGGGGCGGTGCTCCAGCCTGTGGAGCAGCGTGCTGCTCTCCGCTCAGGACATGGCCACGAGCCAGAGGCAGGTCAAAGAGCTGGACGCGGACATGGCCCTCCTCGGGAGGGAACCCGCCCAGACTGGTCATCCCTGCGGTTTGCTCGATACTCAAAACGCGGGGGTATCCTTCGATCTTGACCCAAGGAGGGAGGATGTCCGCTGGGATGAGTGGCACAATGGAGGACTGCTTGCCCGGCTGGGTCTCGTGGACGACTGTTCCAGGTGGTCCTGGATTGCGGACGATGAAAAACCGAGGAGTCGAATCCATGTTCTCGCGATTAAAGAATGTGGGTGATAGGCGACTTTGCAGCAGAGGAGAGGGCGAAAACTGGTGGTGAGGATGAAGTGATGAGGGAGGAGTGGCCGAGAATGAGTCGCAGATGGCTCCTCCGGTGGTACTTTATAGCAGCTCTGGCTTGTTTGCCTGCCAATATTACGGACAAACTGCACAGAGCCGGTACCTGCAAGGTGGAATGGCTGAGCGTGTTGATACAACGGAAAAAATGGGCAAGTGCATGTGGGAAGAAGCCTGGGAGACGGGAACGTGCATGCAAACATAAAAGCGTGCGATTATGTTGCGTTGTGTGAACACTCCCCCTCCGCCATTTCAGCGCAAAGTCACTCGTCACTCTGCTGCCTGCAGTCTCAGGCTCATTCACCTCCAAGTGTAGGAACTGCAAAAAATGAAAGCGCCGCTATCCGTGCTCTGACTTGTTGCCGTCTGTCTAGTTCGCTTCTATTCTAAGTGTGACGTCCAGGCCGTCTACACAGTAACCCAGCTGTCGGGGTCCGTCCTTCAGCTCAACCTCTCGCTTGACCCATCGCCCGGGTTTACTGCCAGTACCTTCGCTGTCCTGTTCGTTGTCATCGCCCCCAGCTCTTGCAGGCACGTCCTCTAGTTCCACTTCCTCGTCGCTGCTGTCCCCCTCTCTATCGTAGTAGCCCGCAACAGGATCCCATTCGCCAGTCTCCCAAACTAACCGCAGCTCCAGCGGTGCTATTCCAAATAATTTTCCAGCAATTCCTTTGACAGCGTATATGTCGTACGATTTGGGTATCTTGGTCGTCTTGGAGCTCACCCCTTCCCGGTGAAAATTCACAGCAACAAGCCGCGACTCCAGGAAGGCCGGATTGACCTCCTGTCTTCTAATAATATCGGGTTCTCCATATATTTCGCAGAGTTCTGCATAGCGCGGGTGGTTTTCTATGACTGTCGCCTCGTCGGACTCGGGAACCGCAGCCAGTTGCTTGGCAATACGGGAGAGATAGAACATCTCAGCGTTTCCACGATCGGAGTGTGATATCTGGGTGAAGTTGAGCGTCTTGAGAGCCCCAATACGGGCTATTGTAAACATATGTGCCTCCTCGGTAGACGATGAAGACGCCTTTGAGCTAGGGTCTGGGGTTTCGTACACGGGGTTATGGGAGATGCGTAGCCCGGTGATGCCAGGAAAGTGCGTAGGTACAGCATCCACAAATGCCCAATCCTGGACGTCATTGTACGATATGTCGAGATACTTTAATGCCGGTGGGAATATCGGTGCCTTGGTTCCTTCCGGTGCCATTTGGAGAATACTGTTTCCCTTGAGGTGAAGATTCCGAAGGGCTGTCAGAGCTGTAAGGCTTTGGAGGGCGGCAATAGATTCAAACTCGTTGTACTCGAGGTTCAGTGTCGTCAGTGTGTTCTCTAGTGAGCCATAATCAACTATGGGCAGATGTGACAGCTGATTCAATCCGACATTGAAGATCTCAAGGGACGGGAATTGGCTGGCCACATAGGAAAGATCCTCCCAGCTTAGGAGGGTTTCTGCAAGACCCATCTCGCTGACACCCTGGAATGCTTCTCTGCATTCACTGACTGATTTCTCACTCAATAAACTCTGGTAGCGATTCGTACTGGCAAAAGGTCATCTCATCAGCTCAGGGTTCATCCGCATATTGGGTGCCTAGAGGACCAACCTGAGCCCAAGATTGCGTAGCTTCGGCAAATTGCGACAAATCTCGACGACAGGATCGATGCTTTCAATAAGATTCCGGGTCAAATCCAGTTGTGTGATGTTGGGGCACGTCTCCTTGATACCAGGTTCTCCCTCAGCCCAGGCGGTGGCGACGCACATCCCGTCGAGGAGCACCACCTTTAACTCTTTGAGCTGGGCCATCTTACGTCTGATCTTGTCAAAGCCCATTTCCTGGGCCGCTTTGGTACCAAACATGATGATTTTCGAGTCTGCCGGCCTCGTCTCGCGCTGCGTTCCCTCGGAACCGTACTTTTCCTGCAATGCTGCGATGAAGCTCTGGGGTTCCTGAGCTGGCCGCGTCGGGCGCACAAAAGACGCAGCGTGAGGGGATTTCGAGAGGCCTGTCCCTGGGTCAGGGATTCAAGAAATCAAAATAAATGAGAGCTGCCCGTACTCACATTCGAAATACCGGACTCCCTTGTGAGAGCCATCATGCTTGCCACGAGAGGAGTCGTCCCATTCAACGCCCAACCAGGTGCCCGTCGTGCCAGCCACCTCGCCAATGTATCGCACAGTGCACAGCGCGCCGTCAAACGACACCCGCTGCCCTAAATGGTGAGTCTGCGACATGGTCGAAGAATCCCTCAAGCTGGGCAGAGGAGGTTTCAAAGAATGAACGTGGTATTAATTAGATCCATTATCCTTGCTGGTGGCTGCCAAATCGAATGTGGGGATATGCACGATTATAGTGAATCAGGCTTGACGACTAATAACGTTTACAGTGCTCATCACCGCAGCATTGGTCCAACATTGGGGTTGAGGGTAACAGCAGGGACGAAGCAAATGCCCGAATCAAATTGCAAATAATTAGTGAAAGATAAAATATATTTTGCACCCTCAATTCAAACCTTACGAATACATGTCCTTCACTCAGAGAGAGAAAAGAAACCAGGCAACTGCCAGTAAATAATTTCATTGTACAAGGCAACTAACCAAAAGCTTAAATTCTTTCCAAATCAGCTCTTTCACGTAGAAAGAGAGAGCAGCATGCAATATATACTGCCCAACTACAGCTTGCTCTGGTTACCACCAACCACCTTGATAAGCGCACGGCCATTACTCAAGCAGACCTTGCCGCCGGCCACCTCAGTGGCGAACCGAATCTCTTCATAATCGCCCTGCTTCTCTCCAGTCCTCCAGACATGAGTCACAAGCTTGTCCCCGGGCTTGACAGGGCTGGCAAACCGTGCCTGGTACTCCTTGATGTTGGCGGGGTCGCCTCCGCCGACCGCCTTGAGGAGCGCATGGGCCGTTGTGTTCCACGAGTACAGTCCATGGATGATGGCGCCGCCGAATCCCATCTTCTTCCCGGGCTCGGGCGTCGCATGGAGCGGGTTATAGTCACCGTTCAGGCGGTAGAGCAATGCCGACTCCTCGGTGGTCTGGTGCTCCAGGACATGGTCGGGCTTCTTCCCCTTGGGCGGAGGGAAGTTCTCCGTCGCAGGGCCCTTGGGTCCTCCCCAGTTGCCCTGGCCGATGTAGAAGGCACTCCCAATCACGCGAGCATATACCTCGCTGTTACTGACGTCCACAAGATCGGTCTGTGTCTCGACAACGGAGCCGGGGCGGCCCTTGTCGTAGACACCAAGCACCTTGGTGCGGATCTCGAACTTCTTGCCCGCCGAGGAGGTGGGGAGGGGCTTGAAGAATTCAATCTTGCGCTGGCCATCGACCACACGGCGGGCGTCGAATGCAGGGACGCCCGGGATAGGGTTCTTCTTCTGTGAGCCATAGAAATCTACAACCTCCTGTGAATTGCCCTTGAAAGCTATGCCGTAGATAGATTTGTCAGCCAGTGGGTTCTCAACTCTTCATTCAGTTGAGGGTTCAGTGAGTTCTTACGCAGGATGATTGGGTAGGTTGGGAAGACGGCGAAGTTGGGATGGAGCTCCTACATTCCGCCTATTAGCACACTGTGTCTCCAGCTTGGCCTTGGTCAAACTAGCCGAAACTTACGTAGAGGAAATGAAGCTCGTCAGATTTCGCACCGATTGTGTTGGCGAAAAGCAAGACATCACGCTGCAGCCACGAGACCTCGACGGCAGGGTACTCGAATCCGACACCAGGTTCAGACATGATGGAAGGGATGGAAGATACACAAGGCTTGCTACTAGGAAATAATACAGATGTGATTGATTACCTGGTGATGGAGTGTGCAGAATGAAAGGAGGAGGAGCAAGAGCACAAGCCCGTTCCCCAGGTTTACATACCCATGGCTTGCCGAAGCTCCAGCAGCGATCCTACAGCAACGGACGTGACGTGCCGAGGTTCAGAGTGTCTAAAGTGTGGGGGAATTGCCACTGTCCTCTAGCTCCTGTCGCAGGTGCATCTCCGCCCCTAATTTTAGGACCCTGATGCATCGGCCTACCCTAAACCCCACACGAAATCTGCCCACGGCCAAGAGATCTCCTCTTGTATCTCTTGTATCTACAAAGCCTGATCACCAACACGTACTCACAAGGGTGTGAAGCAGGTTTTCAGAATCTCGGGCTATAAATATGGATTCATCGAAATCTCCGCCTTCTTCTGCCTGCCCACCTCCCTCGATCTCCGCTACACGATGTGAGAAACATTGCGCAGATATGTTCTCGATGGCTATTTTCTTGCAACAACTGAGCACTCAGACGAACCACCTTAGCACATCCGAGAGCCACAGCAAATTGAAAGATACTCAACGTGACTTGGCAGGCCAGTGATGCCAACCGGGAGTCTCGGTGGCCCAGGCATGAGACCGGTGATATATGGCGTGACCCTCTGAGAGGACGCGATTTATCTAGCGCAGCCCTTCCTCTTCTCTCCTCTTCCAAATAAAGGAAGCTCATTTATTTAATATCGGTATGTTTTTCATTCTCAAGCCCAAGTTCACATGGATAATCGGTCCGAAGCTAATGCAAAAAGTACTAGGAAATGGTATTCTTGAAAAGACTGGCTAGCTGCTGGCTATATCATAAACAGCCCAATATTGTATGGTACAAAAGAGTGTAGTTATTCATGATCAATTTGTTTCATACACCTCCACGAATGGACTGACAAAAGAAACTTCCCCTTACTCCCATGGTCTCTTAACGGACCCTGGCCCTTGCACGATCACACTCCTCTATGAATCGATAAATGCCTTCGAGACCCTCAAACTCCGTTGAGCAGCGATCTGCGGAGCTCATCGGCGGAGACAAGCTCTCGTAACCTTCCGGTTCAGAGAGCCATGGATTCTCCGCAATCTCTTCGATGACAAAGGCCTCATGGATGAATG